AGAATCACGACCCCGCAACATATGCGGTTTTAAAATTTGCTTGCTTTGTATTTTCCGTAAAGCAAAGAAATCATGGTTCCATTTTGGTAGGCAGACCAGCCATGAACTCGCGATGTTCGAAATTGCTGCAGTGCTTGCTAAAAAGTTTTCCTAAATAATTTGGTCTGATCGGCCTCTATTTTACAATTAATGAAACTAATGGGATTAAAATCAGTTCTCCATCGGGACGTCACAGTTCCGATGATAAGAGCGTAGCGATCGACATTTAAGCATTGCACTGGCAGTCGTGGGTCTGAATTCAGCCGAGGCTGCAGTATTTTTTCGGTTCACTCAGAAGAATTAACGAATTATGACTGATTGAGGCTGTACAAAGCGAGTGGACTTGCGTGTCCATTTAACAGACCAGCGTGACATTCGTATGGTTGTATTGAAAAATTGGTCACTAATGAATCTATCAGTTTTTCTACTTCGCGGCTTAAAATCAGCAAATGTACAGTGAGTGACCTAACTCACCAAAGGTGTCAAAATTTACGAATGCTGGCCAATCACACGAGAACCGACAAGTTTAAAAGAATGAAACATTGTTATTAACTATGTTAAATGTATTCTCATGCCAAAAAGATAGTACATATGAAAAAACAAATAAAATAACGTTTAATAGCAGTGTTTCAATGAAGTTTGCATCTAAATATCATTTGAGAATTAGAGTAATTTCCTACATGGTGGTTTTTCAACAGTCTACATTCTGAATATAGATTTTCAAAACAGTTTCCAGGGATTCGTGGTATTCTCGACTCGTTTTAGTTAGATAAGATGGGGTTCAACAGAAGAAACGGGATTTTACTTGATTTCACCGATGAGGACATCAAAGGAACAAAGGTCTTCATAAGGCGACATGCTGCCAGGCCGATCGATGTTTAATAAACTAAAATAGAGTTGACAGGTGTGGTCGTAAACGGGACTTCTTTTTCGTTATATTAATTTACACTTTTCGTTCATTTTGATTACGTTGAGCTTCAGATCAGCCTTGAAATACTGCTGAATACTTCAAGAGTTTCATTGGTTGCATGCATCATGTAAAAAATAAGATACTTTTAGAGGCATTTCCAGAATTAGTGAGTGTTTGGGCGCTCTTCTTCACAAAAAGTTCGCTTGCGTCATATGTGAAGACGAACTTAAACATCAAACTGTATTTTCGAAAAAATAGCCGTCCACAACGAAAACCAGCACCGAGTATACCTTCAATCGAAAAGAAAAGTTTTCTTGATAAGTTACCTCTTTAAGAAGTTCTTTTATACTCTGCTCCGTTGACGGATCTCTGTGTACCTTTAATTTGTGCACCGTGAGGTCGAAAAATGGCACTTTTGGTCGTTTACTTCATGTCCCTAACCAATGCTAAAAGTTTTCAACCGCAAACGTAAGAACACACTTTTTTCTATATATTGCGTTCATTTGAATTGTTTCTGCTTGTCTTTAGACTGCGTTCTTCGATTACAAATGCATAGCAGAGCGCCCATATAAATACTGATATTTTGCTGATACCCTTAATACTTTGCTCGTTCCATTTCCGAATTAAGTATGTGCTGAGGATAGTCTACACGACAAGTAATATTTTACATGTCTTAAACTGGAAATGACCATTCGGTGGTGGTCATTTATGTGGCACCACGTAAACATTTTCAAACGGCAAAACACTTTTAGCGTACTTAAACAAAGAAAACCCTGTCTGTGTTGTTACTGCACTTCAGAGCACCAAATCTCCCATATCTGCTAATACGACTTTTAAAAGTCGATAAAACATCTGGTTATCTTGAAAAAACCTTTTTGTTGGAAGGCTGATTATTACGATTACCATCGGGCATGAAATAAATTTTCAAGTCCGGCCAAATCTGTTTAGTGAAACTCTCGCGGGTAGATTACTTTTCTTTTAACGAAAAACGCTCAGATGCGCAACCGGTGTTCTGGATACGTGTTAGCATAGGAAATTGCACGAATATACTATATATATTATAATATATATAATATATTATATATATTATAATATATATTATGACATATTGTATTTCCCATAGAATGATTGAAGCAGGACGCTACGTCGTGCGCGAATTGGCTTATGGTAATGGCAGTCCTGCGCGGCATCTGTCGCACTATTTCCTTCTGCACCGACCGACTGTTTCAAAGTAGTTTTCAAGACCCTCTGTCTGTTAATCCAAATACACCGACCGATTGATCGAACGTGGTGTCGGTCGCAGGACAGAGTCAAAACGACACTTCAATCTAAATTTTCAATTAAACTAGAAGAAGCACTCAAGATACCAGACAGAAGCGCTTCCAGCGACACTTAGAAAGCACCTAAGCACTCATATAAAGCAGTAGATTTAGAAGTAGTTTAAATTTAGACATTCGGCAAACACGCTTTTCCTGTTACCTCATATTTTACGAAGAAAAGCTAGCATAAATGGCGGCCAAAGGCTGAGAAAAAATAGTAAGGAAAATGCTAGATTTTAGGATTCGAAGACTACTTCATATCAACCACCGAGTTAGGAAAATTCAACTCTTACTTTCTTCAAAGTTCTCCCAATAGCCTGTGCAAAAATCGGACCTGGATGGAAAAGATAACTCTTCATTCTCTGAGTAGAAGTGATTTTTATCGAAATATACAGCTTGTTGATCTAAGCAGTCCCCGCAGTCGCCTCCACATAATGATAATACATCACACACGGGTTTTTATGTTTATATTAACCGATTCCAGTGCCAGACGATTAACCGGCTTGGATAATGACTGGTGCATTCGAAAGAGAAGGAAAAGAGAGTAAGGTGGGGGCCATTTTCACAACTCATCAGCATATTCCTCGCTAAAATAAATCCGGTGATCTCTCATCTATGACGACATTTTGAGAGTTGTTACTTTGAGGACTACTAACTAATTTCGTAACTCGGCCTTCGTATTTACTACTGTGTATGTGTAAAATGGAAGGCCCGAAAACTGAGATTCAGGCTCTTTGGCACTCCGACTCAGGTGGATTCTGAAGCTCTCTCTCGTTTCTCTGAAACCCTGGTGGATCGTGCACGCAGACAGTGAAGTTGACTTCGTCAGCCACTGCGACCGAAGTCGCCTTCGGCTGTCCTGACTCCGTCTTGTCTCGTGACTCGGGTACAGCTGGAGAATGAGAGAACGCAGCAGATACGGCGCAAGTCTGATATTCACGATGAACTAATTCGCTTACGAGTCACTATCCTGCGCCCATAATGCTTCGGGACAAACTGTGGGCATCGCCGCATTCGACTACCGTACAGTCATGTTTGAATTTATTACTAACCTGTAAATTTAGTGTACGTTGGAGTCAGCACAAAAAGCAGGTGTTTTCGCTGTTATGTGTATTTATTAGTCGTATACGCCAACTCACATATCTACTGTGCTCCCTATCAATGCTATGGTATATGGACTTGAATTGACAGCAGACAAATAGTCGCGGAAGATTGTAGAAATTGTATATTTTTAATTCCTTCACAAAGTAATTGCTAGAGTGGAGCGAATCAGTCTATTTGAGACTTAGAGGTTCAGACAAGTACAGTAGGTGGGCTAACTCATAAAATGTCAACCGAAATTTCAAAATGGGTTTAGAGAATCTCAGAGATTCGGCGTTCAATTATTTGGACCCTGGTCGTGACTTTTATTATAGGCAGCACAAAGAAAGAATGTGTTTTTATTGTGAATTCTGGCAGTATTTTAGTCAAACAATAACCGATCTGCAAACAGGAGTTCCAACCTTGCAACCACACGAGCATAAAACATGTGGGTTAAATGAGAAAAGACGGGTCCAGAATCGTAAATGAACAATATTGCACAGAAGTCGACTTTAAAATTGTCTTCTGGGCTAGGTGGTTCAAATTTAGGCAGTGGAATCGTGTGTTGAACATCGACAGTTCTGATGGAGACCCCTCAAAGTTTAAATCTTTGCTTTTCTTGTCTATTCGTCGCCAAAATTAATTAGTCCTCCCAGAAAATATTTTGCGAAAATGGGGCGTCCCAATCGGTTTGCTGCAGCCATCCATCCTTTTGGCAGACGAACATTTCTGCCCTAAAACGTTTCAAAATTCGTCTCATTAAAAAGAAACTCTGAAGAACCATCTGTCTGTATAAACATTCATCCATAATAAACGCCTGTATGTCTGGAACCCTGCGCATATCGTCTCCAACAGCAGCTAAACTATGGCAGGATTTCTCTCATCCCATGTTTTATGTCAACATCAGAGACTTTTGTCCTCTCTTTCTGCTAACTTTAATTCTTTTCTCGATGATATATGACATAAACTTGAAATTCTGTGTCTTTTCGCTCCTAATCAGGCGCCTTTAAAAAAATATGTGATTGTAGAGACCGTGTGCAAAATATTTATGCGGCCGGTTTTTTATTTTTGGAGCACTTAAAAGGTAGAACGGAGATGGATGGCATCTAGCATACTAAAGATACCTACTTCGTTTTCAGCCGGAGTTATGTCTGCCAGAATCTTAAACTTTTCTCTTGTCTGAGTGTGTATATTATTAACCGATTCCCACTCAGCAACAATTCGATCCCAACTCTAACCGAAGCGCGAATACAGAAATTGCATTGCGGGCGCCCGGACGCATCAATGTTTTCTTCTAAAACCCCAGGATTCCTGTGGACCAATATCGTCCTCTGCTCTTATCGTCATAAAATAATCACTTGTAGTGCAGGTCTGCGACCGAATTCGGGGCGTAAATTCGCCTTACCCCAACCAATCCGACAGAAGACGTTTTCTAAATTCCATTGTCCGTGTGTATGTGTGTGTAAATGTGTGCATGAGTGAATGCAAATGCGTTTACATGCTTGTATGTTTATACAAACCTCGGGCGACGCTGTTAGCAAGCTGACGCCTGCAAGAGTATATATAAACTATATGTAACCCTAGAAGCCTCACCCGGTGACTTAAATTTCGCGGAAAGCCCACCTTGTGCTTGCCCACGCCTCTGAGTCCTCATGAATTCGACAGAACCCTCGGCAACGGGAATGAATTCGCCTACGGCTGGCTACATAGCCATCGTAATTGCTGCTATCGGTTTCGGAACCAATTATCTGCCCGTAAAAAAGTTCAAGATGGGTGATGGTATGTTGCATTTCTGTCCTTGAACGCAATATCACATTAGTCATTTGCACAAAATGCGCCATGCAGTTATAATCAGTGTTGTTTGAGCAAGCTGCTTTACACCATTTTGGGTTGAGTAACTTGCTGAAGTAACAAAAAATGCATCTTTTCAGAGGATGTGCTCCATTGGTCTATCTGCCTGAAATGTCCAAGGAACAAAGTAATCAATTCCATACGTAGTCTTGCTTGGGAAAATGAAAAAGGAAACAGAAAACAGTCTCTCCTCGGCATCTGCAAAGGTGTTATACCGCGCTCTCGAACATGTACTAGCTAAAGGCCTAGTTATTTCCTATGGTGGGAGTACGGCATAACACCTTTGCCATACAGATTTTATACTACTTGTAGTACTATTCGTTTGCAGAAAGGACGTCACGTGGCCACTCCACAGTAGTCGATCGTTTTTAACTCAAATGCTTTTTTTAATTTTGGGCCCGACACTAAAAAGTCGTGTGCCGGACACTTAACTCCATGTCTTGCACTTAACAGCCTCTGAAATTATTAACTCGATCGGTGAGCATCCCTCTACCATTATATATGTACAGGAATCAAGTGACCTGTGGGTACGGAATTTTTTACGGAGGCAGTTATCTTGGCATTTACAATTATTTCACATGCGAAAATGTAGTAGGTAAATATGCCACACACACACTTCATGTGTCGTGCACTTTTACCCTAAGATATATTTACCGAAACCTCTACCAAACTCACGGTTGGTCCCCTACACGAAAGTAAATTTTTTTTGCAGAAAACTAATTCTTGCATACGAAAAAGACTGTAGTTTACGTTTTGCCTTTTTAAAACACTCGTCAAAACCATATCCCAGTTACTGTCTGTGGATAAGCGGACATATTTGAAAACGCACAAAGCAGTTTTTCCATTAGTGCAGACTTGTCTTCTAAAGGAAGCTTTGTATTTACAAATTGATTCTCACTCACAAATCGAGTTGCGGGTTTTCCTCTATATTTGTTATAAGGTTTGCTTTTCGAAGTTAACACTTAGGGTTTCTTATATATCCTAACTAAAATAGAAAGATTTGTATGGATACGTATGTGTCTGCCCCTGAAAATCTGCTACAATGAATGTAAAATGCCATTTTGTTGAGCGCTGACAGAAAGGTAAACTTGCGTTTTCTGCTTTTCTGCGAGCTTGATGGGAATTAATTAGTCCTTTGCGACGACAATTATTAAACAGGAAACGTCTAGTTTGAGATGTTTAATCAGCACTTTTGAAACTTGTATACAGCTGAAGCATTTAAATCTCAAAGACCAAGATTTCATCTGTTCCAAAACATGCTCCTACAAGGGATTGAACGAAAATATGTTAAACGTTCACTCGATCGTGCTGAACGCCCGTTATCATCCGGAGCTAAGTCAAACGGACTAAAAACCTACGAAAGTAGCACTTCCACTCGGCATTGTTTCTCCGGCTTAACCAAAGTCGACTAGTTTAGCAAAAACGAAAAACGTGCGATTATTTCGTCGAGTGATTCAAGAAGAAATAGCATCTTCTTGAAACTTTGTGTTCAAAAAAGCAGTTTTTAAAATCAAAGGTCCTAATTTGAAAAGAGTTTTAACATGTACTGTAAACGACGTACATTCTTTTTTGAATGTTTATTGATTCTGTACAAACAGTATGTAAATGATTTTTATTAAATTACAATATTTTGAAGGGCTAGGATGCCAAGGTCAAGGTCGGAAACGCCACCAAATGATTAGCTGACTCGGGTCAAAATGTCAGGTGCGAAGAGTGAAGTTGGGATGTCACTGGGTGATGACAGCAAACAAACCAAAAATGGCCATTTCACTCCTGATCCCCAGTTATCGAATTGGTGAACTGTAAACTCTAGGCTCAAAAGCTGAGCATATTTTACTAGATCAGTATACGCGTCTTCCGTATGATGACTTCTATTTTTCAAAGTCTGAATCATAATAAGGTAATTTTCTACAGAAAATGGTACCCTAGGGAATTCCGGTCGATATGTAGTTAACTTTCATGACTTTTGCTTGTGAGTCTCTCAGTGCCGAAAAAGGACAGCTTGTTTTATTTGGGCACGTAAGAACCTGCTTTTTCACATAATTACCGACGCGGTTCATAGTTCTAGCATATGCGTCATTCCTTAAACTGATCAATCGAGAGTGCTTTCCTGAAAGTCGTCTCTCCAAACTCTGTAAAAACCTTAGCACGCTGCGCATTTTCTGCCCGAAACCAGTAACTTGTTGCGCCCTTGGTTTAGGCATGTTCTTCCAGTGGATCATGTGCAACGCCATCCTTCTTGTGGGTCTCATTGTCAATTGTGCTGTTGGATGTCCAAAGTTCTATCCTCTTGCAATGCTTGGCGGTGCTCTATGGGGGACAGGTATGAGTTGTGGATTAATAATTCTTTAAATTTATGCGTCAGAAGTCCGTTACACAGCAACTCTCGTGGTAAATGGAGTTTTTGTTATACAGTTAGGTGACAGTCATTCTAGGCAGTAGAGCACTCCACCGCTAGTTTTATTACCAAAATAATAAGCTTCCATTATCAGGTGGATAGTACTTAACAGTTAAATCTGTGCACGCCGGATAAAACGGCGGGTCGACTTTCGTTACGAGATCACTGGAGGAAAATTAGCAAGTCTTGCTAACCGGTTGTCTAAGACTTCCTCGATTAATATTTACCAAAAATGCCGTCGAGATAAAAAGCCGTTGGCCCTGTTTTAATGGAAATCGGGGGCAAAAATAATTTTGAATAATAAGTCAGAAGAAAATAGACACAGTACGGCGCTTTTGAAGAAAAAGATTTTCTTGGCGATGGATTGTTTGTCTAGAAAATAATCCATATAAATGCCTCATACAAAATAACGGACGTGTACAGAATTCCTCAAACATATTCAAGAAGCTTTTGTCTAATACACTTAGCTAAACGCAAACCAAAGCCTTTGCGGTCATGCGTTGAGGAAACATCTACCGCGAAATAAGCTCTTAAGGCAGTACTTTATGAAATATTTGGTTAGGAAGTTTATTTCGATGTAGTTCGCTGAGCTGAACATTTGCCTTTCAAAAAACCAGTGAATAAAAATGGCCTAATGATTATTTCATAGATGTTTTGGCAAATTCTGAATAATTCATATTAACCCAACTATGAAAATCTCGGCGCCTCGATGAGATTCGAACCCACGACAGTAAGGGGAAGGCTTTGGTACAGCCACCGCTCTAACCACTTGAGCTACGAAGCCCCGCGGACGAGGCGAGCTTAGTCACATTTGGGTCAAGTTATCTGCCCAACCTACTTCAATGTTTGGAATCCACCAAATCTGATACAGTAAGTTGACTGCCCAAGCAGGATTCCCTAAGTAATTCACATAGAATCCACGAGATGACTACCAGGCTCAAGTAATTCATAATTCGCGTCATCCGGCTGGGCCTCGCAGCTCAGATGGTTAGAATGTTGGCTGTACAACAGCCTCCCCCTACTGTCGTGGGTTCGAATCCCATCAGGGTGCCGAGTTTTTCACAGTTGGCTAAATATGAATTAATGATTATTTATTGATTTCTTCTTCTCAATAAATGGGTTTGGGTTTTATTTCTGACTGACAGGAAATGCCCTGATTGTAACCATCATCGAGGCTATTGGTGTGGGATTGGGTATTCTCATCTGGTCAATGGCAAACATGCTCTTCGGATTTGCAAGCAGCAGGTAACCTTCGTCAATAAACGTGACCATTCATAATTTTATGACCTCCCTCGTTTCTGTCTTCTAGTAGTTTTACTGGGCATGAAGCGTAGTACTAGTTTTTAACTGTAAGCGAGGACTACTACCGGGAAGGAGTACACATGGCTTAGGAGACCCAGAAAAAAATGCTCCTATGTAATGATGTTAGATAAATTACTTGAACTGGACTCATAGAAATAGCAGTTTCCACGGTCATTTCCGAGTTTTCAGGAAGAATCTAGCATAGCACTGGGTACAAATAAGGGCGAATCATTATAACCGAGAATGTGAGACTTAGTGCGTTCATCGGTATCATTTTCCCCTAGAAGAGTCGGTCAAGGAAAACATGAGCGATATAACAGATGGAAAGACATCATACGCTCTTAATGTCCCTTGTCTTGTTCCGTAATGCCATTGGGTCAGGGGAGAGTATTAGTTAATTCATTAACCCGCCATAAGAACGTTCATCGGAATTCAGACCCGATATTGTCTTATTTCGTTTAGGTTTGGTTGGTTCGGCATTCCTTGCAAAATCCCCTCAAAACCGGTGATGAACTATATCGGTGTGGGTATTGCTCTCGGAAGGTGAGTAGCCGTTCTTTCATTCTCCTTCCCATGATAACTAATTTATTCCACTCTTCTCTACCATCCCATGAACCGTATGAAACAGTGGGCGTTCAGAGGAAATAAAACCCAAATCTCTAACTTTTCTGGCCGGAATGCAGAAAATGCTTCTTGAGATCTGGTATAGGCCAACAAAACCAAAGTTTTTAGGGGGTTAATTGTTTTAGCCACATGGATGCTTTCTCATACATCAACTACTGGAAAATAGGCGTGTTCGTACACAGCACGGTAAGACATGATTATCCAGCCGCACCTGATGGACACAATACTGCTGGGATTTTGGTTGGGGGTTAGGGTTAGGGGCTAGGTTAGGAGTTAGGACAACGATTTCTCAACCACACAAAGTGCAACCGCGCGTTACCAATAGCTTTCCTCTTGCATACAATTACTTGACCTCGTCGCCTGTGCGTTCCCCGGCCCCACCTGTAAAAACCCCTATTGCCACCGGTTCCGTATTACAGGTGACTGGGGTTTATTTGGCTCAGGTGCGGCTACATAACCATATCTGACTCACAGGCTCTGTGACAGGGAAACAATTGTCCCCCGTACTAAAAATGATCTTGCGCTAAATGGCAAAGAGTTACTTATTCAGTTGTCCCAACTTTAGCTCTAACCTTAACCCTGCTAACCGAAATCCCAACCTTAGCACTAACCCTACTAACATGAACCCCTACCATTCTGTAGCTAAGTTTGGGGTCATATGTGCCCTACTCGCTGCTCAGGCAGTTTGATGCTTGCGGTCGGCCAGAGGGTTACTAAAATAGCCGAACCAATGTTTAAACGGGACCTTCCAGTCAGTTCGTACTTGCCTCAGCCGATCGAACCTTTATTCGCACGGGACTATGCGCATGCAGTTGACTGAAATTCTGAAATGTGCCTACAATTCCAAAAAATTACTTAAGCAGGGTCATAATATTAATGAGCATCGCGCATACTGTTAATATATTCCATTCATAGCAGGATTCCGGCTTTTGAATGAACTCCGTCCCGGCCGTGTGCAAATACTATATTTCATAAGAAGTGACCACTTAAGCAGCGTGAATTTTTCCTAGTGATTTTATATGCCCTTACAAATTCAAATATATTTTATAGCAAACATCCATAAAAATATTTCCTATCCGCTCATTTCGTTGCAGATAGAGGCTTCTGCAAATTCTATACTTGCAGAAAGAACGTTCTTCGGTTTTAAAAAACCCCCTTCATTCCCGAATAATTATGAACCCAACTTGCCGTCACACTTGCATCCAGGGTTTCGTACAAGGGAAATCACACATTTTTACATGTTATTACGAGGAGGATATGTAGGGCTCATGAAATTTTTTCAATGGAAGTAGACCGCGTTGTCCACTTCATAAGCGGCATTAGAAGTGTGCTGATGCGATTTTGCACGATTGGGCATTTCACGTTTTTGAATAATCTCACAACTAAAAACTTCGTTAAACCCAAATGAACTCCTTCATCGAGTACAAAATTTTAAAAAGGATATTCGCTACCAACTGAGTAAAAGAAAGAGTGGTTTTGTGTACGTTTTTTATAAAATACATTTAAATTTGTAGGAGCATAGAAAATCAGTAGGGACAATTCGCACTAATTAAGTAGCCATTTTCATAAAATATAATTTACAGAGGTGGATGATAAGGAACTCGTTTGGAAGCCGGAGTCCTGACGTGACTGGAATATCCTAATAGTGTGTGTCATGCTAATTAAAATTACAATCCTACTTAAGTAAACTTCCAGAATTGAAAACGTATTTCAGAATTTCAGCAAACATTGCATGACACAGCATATCTACTGTACTTGCCTCCTTTACTTACGAATCTGTAGGAGACGAAATAACTGCTGCATCGATCTCGCCTAATTATGTCGTTATAGCACCGTTTTTAATTCGGTTGTCTTGTGGCTTGGAAAGCAGTCGCCTCTTCCTGATGGCTGCTGTCATATTTTGGAGTTTGTTTAGTCTGGGGAACCAGATATGCTGCCGTTGGTCAACAGTGACGTGAATAAACGACCAATCGAATTTGGTCAGTACAAATGGAAGGGAGGCGGCACTGGTGGCGCTAGGGCTTGGCAATTTTAAGGACCTGCCAGCCCCAAAGTGTGCACCGTTCACGCTGTATTCGCGTGTATATACCTGTTTCCGACCACGGGCGTGTCTACCGGTTGAAGCTGAGCGCAGCGTTCGTATCCCGGTAATTGTCTCGAGTGGCGGCCGAAAACAAACATGAGACCTTGTCCGGCTACTGTAGGCTCAGCGGCTGTCTCGCGACAGCTTCAGGCGTGTACAGTATCTTCTAACCGCAAGTGTCCCCCACTTCGAGAAAGGCCAATTTAACTTGCATGTGAAGATGGGTCACTGGGTGGAGGAGAATGCGACCATCACTGAGCATCTTTCTTTTAATAGACAGGTCGTCTTTCGTCCTTTTCGTACAAGACACTTCAGTGAAATTATATTTCAAGTCTCTTGCTGACGAGGGGTTGTCTATAACTGTTACAGGCGACTCAACCTGATTCGAATAGTGTTCTCTCTGCATGTAAGTAGTCAGGGTTTTAGGTCACCATAGCTAATAAACACTGCTTGTCCGTAACGGGGTACGGGGCTAAAAATATGCCTCAAAACTGTCTACTTACATCTCCTGGTGAGCTGATAGTAGTTTTCCGGACGGCATTAACTGTTGGAACACAGAAAACACGCCCAATGTCTGCCCGACTTTCAGCCCTTAGTCGGAATGGCGTCACTCGCATTGTTGGTCCTGAAAGCGCCTGCTCACCTAAACAGATTCCGCGACGGACTAGTCAATCCTATAAATTCTGGCATCTACACACTTCGATAGCCAGCTGTAAAGACTTGAATTCAAGCGCAAAGGGGACTATAGGCGGACATACGCTTCGGTCATGGGTACTCTTATTAAGATAGTAGGTGTAGAGAAATTCGGCTGAGTGGGGCGTGTTCTGTCGTCATAGAATTCGCAACAGCGGATACCTACTGGCTAAAAGTCTATGGAAGCTGTATTTTTTATCGGAGGAAAGACTACGATTGCGGCAAAAATATTGGAGCATACATAACTCTTGACTGGACCTCGCAGAAGATATACGACGTTAGTTGCTAAATGAGGGACTACAGTAGGTGATCCACCCTAGGAATTCTCAACTGCGATGCTGAAAGGCGTTTTTGACCAGAAAGGGTTACGTAACTGATGTTGTGATATTTCAGTCACGGCAGGTTGCTAGCTCTCAAATTCAATTCTCTGAGGTCACCTGCACCAAATAAGTACACTGAGTGAAAGGTGGCTTCTTAGCTAACAGAAATGTATTCCCCTGACTGTCGATACATTATTAAATTCCATTAAATTTTAATGGAAAATAGGCGCACTGGTCGTTTTCTTGCATGTATTTGCATGCAAGACAATTATATCTTCAAATTCCACATTCGCAGAAGGCACAGCTGTCGATTTAAAGAGAAACCGATGCTAATTTGCAAATGATTGCAAACAATACCTGTTTCTGTGGTTTTGAAACAACAAACTCTGTTCTTTTTATGAAAAGAAAATCACGCATATCTTTATGGCATTAAACAAATATCATACTAGGCCTATGCAGTTTTGCAGCGGATATGAACGATCCTATACGATACTATTCGAGTGGACATCTCGCGATCTCGATAATCTCATTATAGTAAAAATTTTCTAGACCAAAAGTTACCATTTCTGCGAGTATAAAATTCAAAAATATAAGTTCTCATCAAATGAGAAAAAGAAAGTTTATTTGTGTACATGCTTCCCATAAAATATCGTTCAGTTTGTAAGTTCATCGCAAATCCCCATTAATTAAATAGTCGCTTTTTGCCAAGTGTGGGTTTAAAAGGCTTCCGGAAAGAAACGAATTCGAAAGTTATTACCCTGACAGGACTGAAGTATGTTAAAATTCGCTTGTAGATAATCAGTGTGACCAAACCACATAAGTAACCCCCTCTAATAGGGAACATCTATGTCATAAGATTTTAGGAGTTCATCTGTGAATTGCTCTGAGAAATCTAGTAGTATGGATATGAGTAAAGAAACGACATAAAAGAAGACCATTATCTCATTCGCGGAAATTGTGATTCCTCTCAATTGATCTAGAAACCTGAGAGGTTGGCAATCCCTGAGGTTTGATCCCTCTACCTGTTGCTTCGAAGCCCAACAGCCTAACCATCGAGCCAGTTGGTCGTTGTCCTATCGGTTGCGATCAGGCGTATATAACGGTAGGGGAGTGCCCACGTTTGTCTTTGTCGATAATGTCATTCTATCCATCTTACGCGCCATTGTGAGGTAGCTGGAGGGGCCAAAGAGAGAGCGTAAAAACGCAACGGGACGAGTGAGTTACGTAATACGACCGTTGAGCGCCTCTTTGCCATCGTACATATATGCATATATATCAAACGGATAATGTCAGAAATTATTCAGTGCAGAACATGGAGTTAAGTCTCCAGGGCATTACTTTTTTACGGTCAGACCTGAAGTTTCGGGAGTACGGTACAACACGTTTGATAATGTATATATAGATATATCAAGAGAATAACTTCAGAAATTATTCGCTTAATTCTTCTTTGGAGTTCATATACGAGAAGCCGCATCGAAAACGCAGGAGACCCACCGAGGATCCGAGCCCCTCGTAGCTGTTTCATGCAGCGGAAGAATACCTGCGAAACACGTGTTCAGGCTTTTAGTTAGTACCTATGTAGGGCGTGCGGTATAAAAGCTTTGCCATATATATGTGCATAGCCACCGAGATGAAGCATTGAACATGACGCATATTTGTCGCTGATCATTACCATCCCCAGTGTATGGGCACCAGATTAATATGCATCCGTGTTCGCCCAATGCCAAAATCAGTCTGGCAATGTGTACACCCTCATCGTCTGTCTCCTTAGCAATGCTTGCATTAGCACTCAAAAGTCCGAACTCGATTACACAACCCTAGAAGTTTATAAAGTGTTCCTGAGAGTCAAAAGGTTAATGGAGGCTATTTTCTGGTTTATGTTACATCGGAATGCCATCCTGTTGACGCTTATCCCTTTCAGTGTCCTCATTTACGCCGCCATCAAGCCAAATCAAAGCGGCGAGAAAGAATCGGACCTCCCAATGCGAGACATGATGAATGAAAGTGCTGAAACTATAAGCGAGAAAGAGCTGGAGAGCAGTAAAGGTTGTTCGCGATTTTGCAAACCCGTCAGCAAAATGCCAATGATTCAGCGAAGAATCATGTAAGAGTTGCAGTTTAAGACATTTTTTCGATCTGCCAATGTTTGTGTGTTTTTATTGTTCCATCGAGATACTTAAAACTCGCATAATAGTTCGGCCGTCGAGTTCGACGATGTTTACCGTGTACTCCACAGATAGGTAGAGCAGGCACGGTGACGTGCGCGTGAATTAGTTTACAGTGATAGCAGACTTGCACAGCGTCTACCGCACTCTCGCCTCCTCTCCCACCTGGACCCGCTGTCAAGACAGAGTCAAGAGGACCGGAGGCGGTGGAGGGCGCAGGTGGATGACACGGTTGAGCCCGCATCTTGGCGCTCCACCCCGTACCTCCTGGTCCACATAGCAAATAACCAGGTTTTTGATCAACAACCACAATGGGGGATGGTAGGGGTCCCAGTGTGCGCAACAACTGCCAACATTCGGGTCTGTCACCGCACCCCGAGATGTGGACATTTTTTATGGCGCGCAATCCGAAAACGCATGCCAGAATCGGATATGGCCCCCGTGTTGGTCCAGCGCATCTACCACTTGCTCCGTTCGGGAGGCGCAACACTACACTTCCCTACTCCATTGGGATACACGATAAACAAACAGACAGGCGCAAACGCACACAATTCGACCAACGCTCTCTCTTCACTCACTCTCCTGCGTCCAGTCAAGACGACAGGGGGCGGGTTCAGACGCAGTGACTGGCAAAAATAAACGTTTCGTCTAAGCGCGTCAAACACGACCTGATCCCACCCCCCCATAATGTACCAGGCTCTCCCAGAGACAAGTGGTAGCCTAGATGTTATCGGAGTGGGAAGGCGGCCTAGAGCCCTACTCACCGTCCCGTAAGAACCAAGTTATCCCATCAGCTGGCAGTCTTCCAAGTCACGACATTTAGCGTGTCATCTTAATTTTAAAGCGCGTTGACCTTTACAGTGGCAAGGAATGGGCCGAAAGGGTTGTGGAAATGGATCCCGCATAGTCCCCCTCACTCTCTCTTCCCCCTCACATTCCCTAGCCCACAGTGCGAGCCGTTGGAAATCTGATGCTGGGACTAGGCGCAACTGCCCCTCCCCCCCCCAACACACACATACACGCACGACAGTTCGAACGTCGATTCCGACAATGTCCACCGCGTTCTACACAGCTAGGTGCAGAAGGCAGGGTAACTTGCTCGTGAACTAGTTTGTAGTGATAGTAAACATTACGAATCATTTACCTATTTCTCCCTTCACCCACCTGAGTCCGGTGTCAAGACAGAGTCAAGAAGGCCAAAGGCGGGGGAACGGGCAGGCGGTTGGCACGGCCGGACCCCCACCTAAGCGTGCTATCACACCCTCTGATCTACAACATACGCTTGATCAGGATTTTTCACCAACAGCAACGCCCCAAGAGGGGTCAGAAGGACGAGGATGATGATTGGGGAACCATGCCCACCACCTGTATACACAGCGGAAGCGCAAGCGCATCTACCGGCAGGGAACCAGGTGCCAGGGGACTGCCAGCGCATACCAGACTGCGAGGCCATGGTTTGATGATACTGGCACGGCACACACTTTCAGACATTTTGGCTGCAGATAAATAATTGACAGAACACACGACTGTTACTGGTGCGGGAAGCTACCTAATTGTCCGTGGCAGAACACCACGTTTTCAGTTTTCTGAAGCGTGTTCTGAATGGGTTCTAGAGGACTGCACTACTATATGAAAAATAACATTTGTAGGGTATTTTTTATGAAGGTGTGTCTGATCTCACTGGCCTGATAAAGTTGCATACTCTTCCCAGGAGACATTTAGAAGACCACGACAAAAGCCAGTGACATTAAGTGCATCACATGCACTTAGAAAACTGTTTAACATTTCAGCGGCATCGTCCTATCCATTGGTGCTGGTGCGCTTTTCGGCAATACCTTCGTTCCCACAATTTACATTCAGGGACGATATGAAAATGCGAGTCAGCAGGGTAAGCAATATTTTGCCAAAATGTCTGACAAATTTGTACTGTAGTACTCTTGGTCTGTTTAATGACTACCTCCTGACAGACAGGAATAATTAATTATCTGCCGAAGGTTGTCGACTGACATGTGATTGCATTCATCGACTGAAAATGGCTCAAGCCTTCGTTTTCTCTGTTTATTTTTTACTTACGGTTTATATTGGCGCGCGCGGTGTAGGTTTTGATTATTGAATCTCTTCATCAGAAATTGCCACCGAAAAATTGCCAGACATTTGGGGACTTTTTGGGCACCCTTTTCACAGAAGGCAAAATAATATGAGGTAGTACCTTGCTAATGGCCTATCCAAAACAAACACATTTTACGCACTTTGCGGGGAATTACGTTTTGTTGAGGCCAATTTTTAGGGAAAAAGACAGTGAATCCATGGGCGCTCCCTAGGCCGACATCGCTTTCGGTTATTGTGCATACGGCTTTGAGCTTAATGCATGTATAGTAAAATATCTAGAACGTAGATGAAGATGGCCATTTCTGTCAGCCGGCATTATTCAACTCCAGGTCCGCAGTCAACGAAATTAAAAAATCGTACTCTTCCGCCATCGTGCTTTATTAGATTCAACGCCTATCCTTCTTCGTTGCCCCTTCCCCTGATCCCTGACGGGACCGGACTATAATCAGCCCTGGTTTCTGACATATCCGGCCGCCTTTAATTACCTCGCGCAACACTACTGCTCATTTGATATTTTTCAACTATCTCTGTTCTGCCCAGAGTTAATTATTTCACTGGGCAGACCCGATGGATGCTAATTGAAAACGCTCGTCTATCGACTTTGACTTAAGCGAATGCAATTGCTATGGAGTCTTCAGCGATATCACAGCCCGAGTAGAAATTGAACATTAGGCAAATGCACAGACGTTTGTTCTATTTATAACTTGTTTGTAATGTAGATAACTTTATACATAAACACATGAGCACATAAAAATATTATGTATCGAGGAGAGACGTTTTACCACAAAGAGACCACAACAGCGCAAAAGATGCTTAGAATCACAGAGAATATTCTCAGTCCTGTTACTACGTTTCATGAAATCACTTAAGGTTACGTTCCATACCGAACAGCACTGAAACGCGACTTGAGTATTCACAATTGTGCCAAGGCTTATTTGAAGACTCCGCTCAGCGTCCTACCTCTGCACTTTTCGGTTAGGTACACCAATAGCATCCACTTGTCTTTTATCTTTAGGGCTTGATTATGTATTTTCTAATTTCGTTGGAATTTGGACCGCCTCCACCGCAATCTTCGTCATCTACGCCTGTGCCAAGCGCAACCAACCCTGGATCCCCGCTCCCAGTGCCATTTTGCCGGCACTTGTCAGTGGAGTCCTCTGGGCAGCCGCGCAGTCGGCCTGGTTTGTGGCCAATGCTGCCCTAGGTGAACCCATCACCTTCCCCATCGTGACAACCGTGCCAGCTCTAATTGCCACAATCTGTGGCCTGATATTCTTCAAGGAGATCACAGTGAGTTTGGCGAGTCAAAATGTATGCATGAAGTTCATAAAACTATCCAAATATGCGCACTTTTAATGAATGCATTCAAATTCTCGCGGTTGGATTCGTCGGCTACAATTGCACCTCTTCTATATAAATTGAATAAATCTGAATAATCAATAAACCCTATCCATTTTACGGATGGATTTCGATTGCGAACGGTAACTTTCACAGAGGTTACTGGAATATTTTAGATTGCAGGCAACGTCCGTTGATCACCAATCGAATTAATTTAACTAACTCTAGGATCATTTCTCGTTTTTTTGGCATGCTCCCACACATTTTGACATTTTATTACTAGTTGTGCTTTCTTGGCATCTGTTGCTGATGCGAACTTTAGCTTTACAAGTTAGCGCTTCTTCGACGTTTCAAAACTCACTGCCGTTTTCGGATATGCGGTGTACTTGTCGGTTTTTAACTGATTATCCGTATCGCATACTACTGAAACTTCAAATACCTGTCAGTCCGGCTTGGTTTTTTGGTGGATAAAGGACCGCTTTCTTTAATCTCCGCCCCAAAAACTTTCTTTCTCTACAAGTCGACTGGAAATATTGGTCCAACTCTATTCCCGAAAGCGACTACCACGTGTATTTAAAAAATGAACAAATGAAAGTAGAACAAATGCATAATATTTCTGCAGTTACGACTGATTTTTGATTCGCACTTAGTTCATAATTCGTTCTTGGCCATTTTATAAAAAGCTGCAAAAGATTTTCCTGTTAACAAATGCGCTTTGCTTTCCCCCTTCACTCGACTTATACGTCCTAAGAGAGTTAATGTGAAGACGTCGGATCTTCTTAGATATTAGGAGTTGTATTAGGTAAATTGTGACATACCGATAATTTCCATGGTCAAACGTCAATTTTGAGCACAATAGGACTGGATTTACGATGGGCGGTCAGAATAACTATATTACGGCCGGATCTGCGGTGTGTATACATATATGTGTATATTTTGAAAAACAGGCATCCCAAGAAATATAATCAGAAAGATGAAGTTCTTTGGGAAACAGCAAAATTTTATTGTGAATTTTTGAGACTGGTTCCCCAGCTCGTCTTCAGACAATGGGCGTGCAAAAACAATTAACTTTTAACCTGAGTCTAGCAAAAGGAGTCAATGATTGGTTAATATTGTCATCTCGGGATTGGCTGACTCAGTTTGAATCTGTCTTTAACGATTTTGTATGCGGCATCTAAATCGATATGCCGGTTGATGCATGCCTCATCTGAGTGCATTGCTTCCAGGAATTCGCGGCCTTTTCTTGATTGGCAGGCGCCAACAATGCGAGTGTTCTCCCATGCGAATTTATGCCCAGTGTCTAGTGTGTGCATGGCCACCTGGGATAAATGGTCGCGTCTCTTCACCGCTAACTGATGCTCATGTAAACGGGTTGAGACAGATTTCCCAGTTTGGCCACAATAAACGGCATCACAACTAGAACACGGGATTTTGTAGACGACACCTTTTCTTTCAAGGTAGCCGACCCTGTCCTTAGGGTGCACGAGCTGTGTGCGTAAGGTAGTTGCCGGCTGGTGTGCTACGTGTATCTGGTACTTTTTCAATTGTCTTTCGACAAGTTCAGATACATTTTTGACGTATGGCAGAGTTCGCCATGTGGTTTGTTTTGGTGCCTGAGTGGCCGTAGTATTGCACGCCCATTGTCTGAAGACGAGCTGGGGAACCAGTCTCGAAAATTCACAATAAAATTTTGCTGTTTCCCAAAGAACTTCATCTTTCTGAATATATGTGTATAATGGTAGGGGACGCTCACCGATCGTTCATACGGAACTCAATCCTTCCGTTGTGTATATAGGGGCGGCATGCACAAATAACAGGGAGACTGGAACGATAATATTTGCATTATTGACCATCAAGCCCTCAGGTATCCCTAGCCCAAGCTGAGCTGTACGAGTTCGTACCCGCAATGATAATGGACTCATCACGGTCTTTTATAGATAATTTCATGATTGGTAGAGCGTCAAACTCCATGACCAAAGATCCCGGGCTCGAATCTCAAGTGATCCACACTTGGGATTGGGTATGACAGGCTGATGATGGATAATAAGCCAGAAATGGCCATTCTGGTCTCCCTTGTCATTTTCGGTATCACCTTATCAACATATATCACTAGTCGCTGTGCGACTGCCTGCGAGGGTTCTAATATGAGCCCACAGGCACAACAGAACGAACATGTTCTATAACCTGATCGGTGAGCGCCCATCTGTCATAATTGAGATTCCCAATCACAACCGACAGGACAACGGGCCCGTGGCTCAATGGTAGAGCGTCAAACTCTATGACCAAAGATCCCGGGTTCGAGTCTCAAGTGATCCACATTTGGGGTTGGGTATGACTGGCTGATGATGGCTAATAAGTCAGAAATGGCCATTTCGGTCTCCTTTGTCATTGTCGGTATCACCTCATCAACTTCATGATTGTTTAACGGATATATAATGCTAGTCACAGCTGTATTGACTGGCATACATAATTTCGCCCAGCGGGAAACAATGATTTTGTGCCTGCTAATAGGTTAGGATAAAGTATGATGCAAAGAAAAGAGCATTAACGTCTATTTCCTCGTATTCTTTCAAGGGCCTTCGAAACTACATTCTCCTCGGATGCGCGTTTTGCGTAACTGCAGTCGGTGTTGCACTGAACGCTCTGTCTCGATGACCTGCATGGACGAACTCGCCACTTTTTTGACAAACAATGTCCGCTTGTAAATTCAATCAAATGCAGGCTCTTGTATCCTAATTGCCCTAGTTTACTCATTTTTTTCCTATAATTGCACTCCGGATATCGATAGCACTGGGACGGCAGAGCAACAGCGAGTACAGAGTAATTAAAAGTGCTTGAACTTAATTTAGATAGACTGAGTGAATAGGTTATCTTCATACTTGACGTCATAAACTCATGATCTCTACTGGAGTGGACCGTTTTACACTAGAGAGATATACGGTGGGACTGACATATGCGACCTCCTAAGCAGCATGAGAGGACAGGAACCGTCTACAATGCGGATGGCTTTGAGCCAACGTTCTGTGAAATTAGGGTTAAGTTAAGGATTAGGTCCAAGGCTGGATTTAAAGTTAATGGTAATGCAAGTTAGGGTCAAGTTTAGGGTTAAAGTAGGGACTAGTGTTAAATACAGAGTTATGTTTTGGGGTAGGGTTGAGGTCAACGGCTTAGTTTTATATTAGGGTTGTTGTTTTCGCCAACTGTCGGCGAAATAAGGGTTAGGTTTACGATTAGGATTAAAGTTAGGTTAAGGATTAGGTTCGGGGCTAGATTTAAAGTTAACGGTAATGTAAGTTAGGGTCAAGTTTAGGGTTATGGTAGGGACAAGTGTTAACTACAGAGTTATGGTTTGGGGTAGGGTTGAGGTCAAGATTGGGACAACGGCTCAGTTTTACATTAGGGGTTGTTGTTTTGGTTAGGACACGGAATAGCTTGCACTTTCCGGAATTACTTGCAGGTCCGCTTTTATTACTGGGGTGGGGCGCACCTATTCCCATGTCCTTTTTAGGGGGCCACATGAGTCCCTCCCACCCTGTGTATTCGGAGCTGCATGCTGAAGGGCAGATGAGCCCCTCTGAGCATAAATACTGGGGGAAATGTAAACTTAAAAATAAGGAGAAAACGCCCAAGTGACTCTGACGGCTCCGTTCCTTCGAAGACTGCAAGGATTTCGGCATCGAATGAGAGGCGACCCTTCGTAGCCAGTCACCAGATGATTTTCGAACCAAAACCCCCAAAATTTACCAAATAGCGGAGGCCAATCAGTACCGTCCATGAGAAATCAGGTCAGTTTTATTGGGCTATTCACAGTCTAAAGTGGTTGTCCTGAGCGACTGACAGTGTCCAGTAAATCCGACATGGCCTTACCTGTTACTGTCGGAGCAAGTTAACTCCCTCACAATTGCACATCACGGCGATATAGTCAACAGTAATTTCAGAAACGCATAAACGCTTTATGTTCTGCTTGCTTTCGTCAGATCGTCCTCCTTCAAAGTCTGTTTTGAAATTCCAGGGTTTTTGAAAAAAGGGGTTGCCTCACTTCCCTAATTAAGCTGCGTAAGACCAAATGAGATGTATTACCTTGGTAAAAAAAACTTTCGGGACACGATTAGTTATATAAACCAGTCTTGCATTTTCAAATTTAGTACTAATGCAAGCAAACGCAACTTCTTTTGCTGGGAAAAACTCTTGAACAGTGAATACTTCTCACGTGCTTTCGCACAACTGACCTGAAGCGTTCACTGCAGGAGATGAGGGTGGTGGGTTTCCCGTGCAAAAAACACATGATAGGTCTTCATTCTACGACTGTTTTTTCGAGCAAGTTTCTATGACTACCTACTCCCTGCTTTCGCGTGTAGTAGTGCTCAGTCACATGGAAACGGTGATCACCGATCCACCATGACCATAAGCTGGAACTCAGGTGATCTATGTTGCTGCAGGGTGTGGAACGCTCTGGTCAGCGGTCTCCCTTTTTTTCCACCAAACCTTAGTCGAATTTCCGAAGAATATAGCCAGCTAGGACATCTCATACTCTGAAAGCACGTAAATCACATGTCTTCCGTCCTACCGTGGGGATGGTACACTCTCGTGGGACAGCGTTTACATAAGTGAAGATTCGGGGTCAAAATATTTGGACTGCAGCCATAGGGACTCGTTCGACAAAAGACAGTTGAAGTGTAAAACATTGTTTCTAACTTTTGCGCTTCTCACTGACAGCCCCGTTTCAGTAGAGACAATTTCAGTCTTAAGGGCGCAAGCAGTGAATCCAACCGGCAAAAGCAACCAGTTATATTTGTCATGCAGTCTGGGTTGGGCACGAAGTTCTCATTTTACAAGGCACCGAACACTGGGCACAGCCCTGCCGATTGAAACAGTGCCCGATCAGACCTTGTCATATGCGAAACTAACACAGTCAGAATAGTTTTTCTCCTTTACTGCGAAAGGAACCAATTCCGCATTGGCGTTGATGAGAGGGCATTTCAGCTGTTTTAGACGCTAAATTCAGTAGAGTAGGAGGCGGCCACTTCACGAGGACGTCAGACGATAATGTAGTACAGTTTAAGCGACTGCGCCACTTTTTCTGACAAGACTACTTATTTGTCCCCTTCGGCATGCTGACAATACATGGAGCCAATACACTCCTATATTGCCTACATTAACTTTCTGTTTCCCACAGTCTGTCCGAACAATTCTTGGAAGTATTGCCCTCATCTACGCACAGTAGATGGGTTAACTCATAAAATGTTAACCGAAATTGCGAAATGCGTTTGCGTTTCGAAAAGATTAATTAAGAAGGGCTGTAAAACTAATCATCTTGCAGCATAATTCTATAATATTTCAGTTACCTCAGAATGTCGGCTTTCGAACGAACTTCTTTTCGGCTGCATGCGAAAGCTTTACTCTGTAAAAAATGACTACTTATGTGGCATGCATTTTTCTGATTGGTTTTCAATGCCTTTAAAAGTCTACTTACACTTCATGGAAAACATGCATGAAAATATTCATTCTTTTGCTCATTTGGTAACAAATTACGCTTTCTTCTAATTCTATATTCGGTTGAAGGATGTAATTCGATTTTAAAATATTTCTAAGTATAAAATTTTCTAATAACGTGAAATGGCCGCTCGTAAAATGTCATGTCTCTGCATTCACCAATTTGTCTTGTGAAGTTAACAACATGGCTCAAATCCACTGTCACCTTTTATGAACCCCATATGGCCTCCTCTTAACACCGTTGAGAAAGGTGTGGTTTTCCGTACGCGGAAAATATGCAGCTTGTAGTTTAGAAACCCTGAATGCAAGTGTAACGCAGTTCGAGGTTCAGAATGATTCGGGAATTAGAAAAACTTTTGAAAAGCGAACTATACCCTTCCTTTGAGTATAAAATTGGAAGAGCACGTAAGCTTTTACCCAATGAGCAAAAGACTGAATATTTTCATGCATGTTTTCTATGAAATACAGTTGAATTTTTAAGGGTATCGAAAATCAGTGAGAAAAATGCATGCTAATTAAGTAGTCATTTTAAACAAAGTGTAGATTTGCATGCAGCCGGAAGGAAGTTCATTCGAAAATTGGCATTCTTAGGTAACTGAATTATCATAGATTTATGCTGCATGAGGATTAGTTTTAAAACCCTTCTTAATAAATCTTTTCGAAACGAGAACGCATTTCGGAATTTCGGTTGACATTTAATGAGTTAGCTCACCTACTGTACATTTTCCGAGAGGTAATCGATTGCCCCTCTCTCCGCCCCTAGCAAGATCGATTATGTTGCGTTAGAGTTTGTCCCCTCCCCTGACTATTAGATACAATACCGTACTTAAGTGTGCACTTTGGAATGTTTTGTGTCGCACGGGACCCATCCCGTCCTGGTCAGCAGACGCACTAAGTACGTACAGCTTAGGCATGCAAGTCCAACGACAGATAACTGCCCCGCAAGTAGCTCACTAAAAACTTTATTCAGTGCATCCAGAGTGACGGAATTAGCCAGTACGTTTACCTTGTGGGCCATTTAGTCCAAAAAGTTGATAAATACTCAAGTTTCGAACAGTGTGTTTGAGCCGGAAAAATAGCGCCATAGGTAGCTCAAATAGAACCTAAAATATTCTATCCCAATCTTGAAGGTCGTGACCCAGTTTATCACTACTCAGTCCCACCTACTGACATGACTGTGTGTCAATGGTTTAATGATTAGTACTATTTTGGTCGATTAGTTCTCTTTCCCGGAATTGGAAGTTTTGTGATAACCTCAGTGTTTTGCACCGATTTTCAGGTCCCAAAATATACACAGGTTTTCTTCCTCAGCAGTTCTTTTTCACTCAAACCACCAATGATTAAGCCCTAAGTAATGATCCCACCTGAGTCAGAATGGCTATTTCGTACACAGTACCTAGAGTAAATACTTCTATGCGGAGTACTTCCTTCCTTAGTACGCAGCGTCTTCCGAGGGGCGCTTAAGCAATAAAAAATTCCCCTATAGATTTAACTTCTATACCTTGTTTGACGATAACCACCACCACGTGAAATGAAAGAAATAGTGGTTGCTTTCATAGGGCCTTGCTTATACTCAGGAGGACTTGGGTGAAATTGACAACACTCCATACTCTCTACGGTCACGCTGTGCCATGATAACACTAGGTTAATTCAACCGGACAGGAGCCTTGTTTCCGTGGTTAACCGGAGGTTGGTTGCCGTCTTTGGCATTTAGCGTATGTTTCCTTCTAAGGCTGGAATCAGCCCTTGCATACTTAGGTTTATATTCAAAAGCTTTAGTATGAACCTCATATTCAGAGAGATTCATTGTGACAAGGTCTCCCGTCTCTAAATACTAGGCCATTCCAAGGGATGGTAAATATTCTCTCTCGGACAACTAACGATCTGTAATAGTTCATTTGTGCGCCAGTCTGGTTATAATGGAGAATGTCTGTGTAGCACCTCGGTTTTCTTTTTTCTATCTCTCTCTTCACCTCCTTTCTTCTTCCTCATTTCCTTCTAGATTCTTAGTCGTCTTAGAGGAAAAATGATTTGCGACGCTGAATGTTGTGCCGAAGCGAGTGGAATAATTAACATTACACCCTGCCGCAAGCACTTCAAATACATGTCGTTTCCTGTAACAGAAATAACCCTCCTCGTCCCAAACAGCAAGCTACTATAGGTTTATTAAAACAGTTTGGGTAAACACAACAGTACCACCAATACTGAAGACCAAACAAACAACACATAAAGAGTAGTATATTTAGAGTAGTAGGCAATGCCTTTGCCCTTGTGAACGACGTTGGTTCAACAACGGTGACTTACACGCAAGCGTATTTGTAGTAAAATAAACATGCACCGCATCTACCTCACTTTCTCCTCCTATATCCACCTGTAATTGACAAGATATGACAGTCCATACGGGCTGGACCCTAAGTATATACCTAGCCGAAATCTTTCACTGGGGCATCCGGATGTTTGAAGAGCGAAGAGGTCGGAGAGAGCACACTATAAAAAATAGTCAAGCTCCAACCGCACATCAAGCGAATAGGAATTTACCGAGACAATAAAGATGCAGTAGGTTGGCTAACTCATGAAATGTCAACTGAAATTCCGAAATGCGTTTTCGTTTCGAAAAGATTAATAAAGTAGGGTTGTAAAACTAATCATTCAGTTACCTCAGGATGCCGGCTTTCGAATGAACTTCTTTCCGGCTGCATGTAAAAACTACACTCTGTGAAAAATGACTACTCAAGTTGTATGCATTTTTCTCATTGATTTTCGATGCCCAGAAAAGTCCAATTAAACTTTATAGAAAACATGTATAAACATGTTCCTTCTCCCGCTCATTCGGTAGAAAATTGCGTCTTTTTCCAATTTTATACTCGAAGGAAGAGTATAATTCGGTTTTCAAAGCTTTTCCAACTCCCGAATAATGTTGAACCTGACCTGCCGTTACACTCACATTCAGGGTTTCAAAACTGCGAACCAAATATTTTTCGCGTACGTAAAACCATACATTTCTCTACGGTATTAAGTGGACACCATATGGGGTTCATACAATTTAGCGTGAATTTGAGCCATGTTGTTAGCTTTACGAGCCACATTAGTAAATGCAGAGTCATGACGTTTTATGAACGGCAATTTTCCGGTATTAGAAAATCTCACAATTAGAAACCTTTTTAAAACCGAACTATGTCCCTCCTTTGAGTATAAGTTTGGAAGACGACGTAGTGTTCTACTGAATGAGTAGAAGAATGGATAGTGCTTTGCATGTTTTCCGTGAAATATAATTGAATGTGTAAGGGTATCGAAAATCAATGGGCAGCGGTGCCAAGCACAAAAGCTTGTATTTCTGCGCTTACGAGGGAAAAATTACTGTGGGTTCAGGGTCGCACACACATGGGATCATCAGGGGGACCACATTAGAAAACGTCATTGCAGTTTGACCTTCAATCCTGAGACGAACTGGATTACAACCTTAGTTGTCAGTCTGCTGTGACACTGCTCTTATCTCATGTTGGTAGACTCCGGGAGGCATCCGACTGATTATACCTGAGAATGCACTGATTTACCGTGAGGATGGATCCCGTAGTGTAAACCTTCTGCTCACTCTCTCATTCACCAGTATGATTTTGTCAACCGACTGGTGATGGCACTCAACTTAGTGGCTGATGTGGCTTAAAGTCGGTGGTTCAAGACCTGCCACACGCGTGTAAAACGGTCCCTAAAGCCTTGTCCGCACTCAACAGAGCCGCATAATCACGTGTTATGGGATGTTTTAGTCCTGCTTATGCCCCCAAAGCACCCAAAACACAGTCAGTTAGGGGCCCGTCAAACAAGGGGTCGACCGTCGTGCCCAGCGATGTCCGCTGTGCGTTCCACAACAAGGTGAAGTAGGCACTGTGACTTGCACGTGAATCAGCTTATCGTGGGTGGAGACTTGCGCAGCACCTGGCGCACACTTCCCTCCTCCCCACCTGGGCTAGGCGCTAGGACACAGTCAAGAAGATCAGAGGTGATAGAGGTCGCAGGTGGCCGGCACGGCTGGACCCGCATTTAGGCGTGTCACCACATCCCCTGGCCCACAAAGACACTTGATCGGAAATTTTAACCGGCAGAAGCCATTTTCACGACCTGTATTCCCAGCGGGAGCTCAAGCGCATCTACCGGCAGGGAATCAGGTGCCAGAGAACTGCCAGCGAACGCCAGGCTGCGAGGGCCATGGTTTGTTGATATTGGCACGGCACACGCTCACAGACCTCTAGACCCAGAAGGGTGACACGTGGCCCTGCATTTTCCCGGGCCATCACCCTTCAAAAGCAGGGTAATCAAATAATCGTCGACTGAGAGGCACTATCCATACAGCACACACACACCACACATGTGTGAGAGTCTCAGACGTCACAGTAAGAAGGCGCCATGACAGCCTGGCTCTCAGGCCACCAGTCCGCCACACTATACAATCACGCACAACTGGGCAGGCTGCGTGGACTGAGTTGGGGCATCAGTGCAAGGTGGAAATCGGGTGGAAGGTGGTGAAACTTTGGTGCCACCTTCCAAGCCTAGAGTAGAAAGTGCCAATCGGGTGCTTGTGGTGGGTGATGGTGTTGTGAGGTGCGGGTGCTGGCGGACGAAGGCGTGACGGTGTGGTGCAGCTGGCGGTTGCTTACCGCTGGTTTTCGTGAATGCGCATGTGGCCTAGTAAGCCCATTCGGGAGCTAAATTTGTGGGGCAAATGACGGCAGTCGTGGCGGATGCGGCAAGTGAAGGTTGGTGCTCCAGACACTGGTTCGGCAGTCTCTGTGCCATGGATTCATAAGTGACCGACCAGATCGATGTGTGAGGTGGATGTGCGACTGAAATCAGCACAAGTATGAACCGAGTCCACGTCGCTGGAGGTCGGGATTTTGGTTGTGTTTGAAATTAATGGAACATCGGGCGTCGTTCCATCGGTGGTGGTGGTGGGCAGGGCGGGTGGTGTCGGTGGATGATAGCGACGGAGCGGCCACCGTGTGAACGACGGTCGGCTCAGGGTTTACGGCAGGGGTGACATTTGGAAAAGAAGTTGACGTTGCCGAGTTGATGGCGCATTGAGTCCGAAGGCGTTCTGTAAGACCGATGGGTGCCCGGAACGTCCGTTGACATCGCGGATAGGTCGGAGGCGGGTGAGCGTTGACATCGAGTGGTGGGGGAAGTCGAGACTTGCCAGCTTCACGTTAGGCTTTGGCGGAGGTGATGCGGTTGACTTCGTAGATCGCTGTGCCTATCTTCACTGTGCTTTTCCAGGTCGGTTTGTCCGATGTACAGTCTTCCCAGTTGGTCGCGCTGATCTGCAGTCGCTTCATGGAAGCCTTTAGAGTGTTCTAGTAACTCTGGACTTGTCCTGCTTGTCGGCGGAAACCGGTTGCGACGTCTCAATGGAAGCGTCGTTTGGGTAGGTGCCCGTCATCCATCCGCACGAGGCAGCCGCCCCAGCGCAAGTGCAATTGTATCGGCATTGTGTGTATGCTGAGGATTCTTGTCCGTGTCTGGATTCCGATTCTGCCATCTCAGCTCTGGCATCTGTTGAAGACAGCCGAGCTGGGAAGGGTTGAGGCTCCGCGTCTGCTTCTTGTAAACCATGCAGGTTTCCGCTTCATACAGCGGCGTCGGCAGGATGACTGCTATGCACATCTTGAGTTTGGCGCTAAGAGTGAGATCGCGATGAATCCAACAGGTGTTCTGCAAGCGACCGAAGGCTTAGTTAGCCTTGAATATCCGGCAGGCCGCTTTATTGTCGATTTTAGTGTTGTAAAAAAGGGTGCTGCCAAACAGGTGATGTTATCAACGGCTTGCAGTTGGGTGCCGTTCACACTGATTTGGGCATCTTCGGGTGGCGGTTGATGCACGGCCACCGTTTTCCACATGTTGATGACCAAGCGGAAAATGTAAGGAGTCCCTATTCCAGATGTTTGTTGAGACGGTCGAGGTGGATGCGAGTGAAGATTTTTCCTGCAATGTTGAGGAGGGAGATGCCCCTATGGTGGCCGCAGAGTTTACGGCTTCCTTTCCGCTTTAAAGATAAACGGTTTTGACGTCCTTAAAACCTTGACGAACTTTGGCTTGACGCCATGTCTCCTGGAAGAACGTTGTCAGATGATCTATGATTTGGGGACTACGGGGCTTGTAGATTTCAACAGGTATCGAGTCCGATTCAGGCGCTTTACTGCTAGAGAGTGGCTGCACAGCCCTAGGGGTTCTGTGGAGAGAGGGCGGGAGGTCGAAGTCGGCGTTGGTCTTCGCTTGAGGCAGACGGGCGATGGCGGCGTCGAGGATGTAGGAGGGCCGGTTGAGGACGTATCCGAAGTGTCCGGCCATTGCTGTATAATTTGCGACTTCTGAGTGAGTAGGCTGCTGCCGTCGGCGCAGAGGAGAGGAGCAGTGTCTTTGGTTGGCGGACCGTAGACAGCTTTAGTCGCGGAGAAGAAGTTCGTCCATTCGTTGTAGCCCACGTATCCCTGGATCTCCTCGGCCTTGCGAGCTGTCCAGGCGTCCTGCATCTCATACAGCCGCTGTTGCGCAAAGTGGCGACTACGGTAGAAAGCTGCTTTGTTGTCATCGGTAAAACGGTTGACGTGGGCTTTGTGTAGTCGAATTTTCTCAACGAGCAGGTTGCTGGTGGTGGCGGCGTCGTTGTCATCAAACCAGTCCTGGTGCCGGCGACGTGCGCGACTGAGCACAGCCAGGGCAGTCGACTAGACAGTGTCCCTCAATTCGCACCTTTAACTCTCCACGGAGGCGATCTCGTCGGTGGCAGTGGCGGCTACTGGAAGGTTGGCTAGCCGTTAAGCAAGCTCATTACCGAAGTGGAAATGGCGAGCAGGCACAGAAAACAAAGCAATATTCAACTTACAAAGGTATCCTCGACATACTGGACCCAGAACTTCGGTCTGTGGTGTTGGAAGACCAGCGACCCTAACCGTTGCAAGACCGCCTCGGTCATGAACCCAGAAATCGGCGAACCCATTGGTGTGGCCTTCACATGTTCGTAGATTGTCCCGTCGAACTTGAAGTGCGTCCTGAGGCAGAACTTCAGGAGCTGAAGGACTTGGGCGTGTCAAAGATTATTCTTCGTTCCATCGTATTTGCTTTGTAGAAGCAGCTCGCTTGTCTCGATCGTCAGGTCCTATGGAATAGAAGTAAAAGTGGATGTAACATCAAAAGATACCATGACCTCATTTGGATGGAGGCTTACCCCTTTGAGTTTCTTCAGGAATTGTGCTGACGAAGAGACCGTGAAGCCTAATTCAGAGGTCAGGAACTTGAGACGCCGGAACAGCCACTAAGCCAGTCCGTACGTTGGAGTACCTTTGAGCGACACGTTAGGTTGGAGAGCAGCGCCGTCTTTGTGCACCTTAGGGAGGCCATAGAATCATGTCAAAGCCGTATCTTGGGGTCTCGCCATGCGTCTGTCGGCCGGTGTTACTGTCCCATGTGTAACGAACCCTGTAAAAACGCTGACACGCGAAATTAATGCTGCGTTGTTGGCCTAGGAGGACTCAGGTGAAGGGAGGAAGCCGTGAATATTCATAGGTATACGGTAGCTTGACGACTACATCCTTCAAATAGTGCAACCCCTTGAGCATGAACCACCCGTAGCTGCTATTGTTTCTGATGATGGATTCGAGCAGGAATCCGAAACGTCAGGCTTATAAAGCTCTTGTCCCAACAATCGTGTCTCCTTCTTCAAGATGTCCACTTTACAGTGCGCCATTTCCCGAGCGACTAGTGTCGTCCTTCGTGCCGACCGGCTACTCCTGGCATTGTCTAAAAGGGAATATACATTCCAGACTGCTAGAGTGGACGGACTCACCCTACCATCCTGTCGGCCAGAGGGGAGGATGAAGAGGGCGAGTAGTGTCTTGTGTTTTGTTTAGCAGTCTGCAACCCACGGTCAGCCTGCGGACAGCGTGGTTCCCAGCATTTGTTTAGAGCACCTTTTCTATCCCCTGCCAGCTAGTTAGCGAGCTACTACGAACTTCGCGCAGGCCCACAACTGGACACTCCTACACCCCGACCCGTCAAACACACACATGACAGTTGGCTCATCGCGAAGGACGATATGTCCCACGGAGTAGTCGGCGCAGTAGGGGAATTGCGCGTAAATTAATTTATAATGTTAGCAGACTTGCGTGGCATTTGCCGCACCCTCTCCCCCCTAACCCACATGGGACCGATGGCAAGACGGAGTCACGACGGCCGTGGGTTGGCTCGGAGGCAGTGGCCTACGGGAATAAAATAACTCCTCAACGCCTGCCACACACGTCCCGGTCTACCGCCAAATGTACCAGGATTGTAGCCAAAGGGACAAGTCAACCTCTGCGTGTATAATAGTGAAATGAAGGCGCACAGAGAAGAGGCCATTAAGCCTCGATCCATCAGTCAGTCACTCCATATAACACCATTCACTGACCCCGAAGACCGAGTTATCAAGTCAATTGGTGAACTTCAAGTCACGACTTTTAGAGTGTCTGATTTACTATAGTGGCGCATGCGCTAAGATTTCGTGGGGACTAATTCTCCTAGATCAGCCCCACTCACTCTCTGCTTTCTCTTTAGCATCACTTTATTCTTCGGACCTGTCAACAATCTGGAGCAAGTATTGGACGCGGTGGCTGACAGAACAACAACAGTCTATCTATGAGTGCCACACCAGGCCTTGTCTGACATCAACCAACCACTTACCAGAGAGGTGGATGTTCTGGCTGTGTGTCGGGTAACGAGAGACTGGTATGTGTGTTGTGTATGGAGCAATATCTGATGTTGAGGTAAGGTCGCAGTGTTCCCGGCAGAGTTTCACGGAAGCACATATGACGTCACTGCAGTCAACGAATAGCTGTAGGCATTGTGGGCAACTGAGGCAGGTGTGGTGAATGTGCTTTGGTATTTCTTGCACTTGTTTTCCAGTTTCAGTCCAACTGATTCGCAAGTGACCGACCGGGCCTATGCGTGATTTGAATTTACGATGGCAATATGGCAGGATATACTGGTATCTGCTGGATGGACGATGCCGAAAATGCAGTTTATGGTGGCAACGCTAGTGACGGGGGAGTTTTCGGATGCGCGGAGGGAGAGGGGTAAGCGTTTCGGCTCTTGCTGTGGATATCTATGTGGCCAAAAGGCGGATACAGCTCCCGAAAGTCCTGGGACATTGTGGACAGGTGTCGCGCTTGTGGCGGGCGGACGTTTGGGCTCAGGCATTGGTTCACCCGTCTCAGTGCGACCGACTCGCAGTTGACTGATCAGGCCAATGCGTGTTTTTAAGGTGAGGTCGCCTTGGGGACAGATTGGGGTTTAGCCCGCACTTTGTTAATAAGGCGGTGATAGTTTGTTGAATGCTAGAGCGTCGGGAATCTCCTCATCGATGGTGGCGCCCACACAGTTCAGGGTTCGCAACGAACAAGATCCTGTTCCATTTTCTGACATTTGCAGCTTTTGTTTTGCAGTCCCCTTAACTTATAGAGGCTATGAATGCCATATAGATGTATAGAAGACTCAAATATGCTCCAAAAATAAAGGAAGGAGAAGAAGGAGAAGCTTGTGAACTGTCGATTTGTACGTGTGTGACAGGCTTGAGACGGGGTCCTGCGCCACTGCAAACAATCTCGTCGTCAGTCGAGCCAAGTGAGAAAAAGGAAAATCGAGAGGTGCCTTTGTGCGCGACAGTTTAGTGCACTTCTCATCATAATAAATTGGGAGCACTTAGATCTTGAAGAATGATAAAACCTTAATGGTATTGATGTTTGTCAGTTGATGAGATAACACTCCCCTCCTTCTGAGTAAGCGTCAGACTGTAACTGTTCTTAGCGAGACCTTCCTGACCTCTGGACACTTTTCTGGCATCCAGGAGACAGCTATTCCAATCCACGCCGGCATCTGCACATCGTTTCGTCGGACAGACATGGTGCACGGGAGAGAGAAGAGAGAGAGAATGGATGTCCCAGCTCAGATCCAGTGCTTGGATACTTAAAGTCTACCAAGCGTACTTTGAGAGCTCCACGAAACGCAAACAGTCATGAATTGGAAAGATGCCAACCTATTGCACTCGAGACTGAACTACAGCCCACAGTGACTCATCGACAATGCGGTCTTCATCGCATTTCACTTCTGAAGGACTCGGACCCCGCATTGGTGAACGATGTCTTTTAAGTGCAAAATCAGGCAAGGCTTCGTGCGTGGCACAAATTGATGGACTGCCATGCCGTGTCAGCCACTGCGAACGGGCTTAGCTGCGGACCTCTTGACTTTGCATTGCCAGTGGAAGACTTTGAGTGCATGAAAAGAGCAACCTACGTAGATGCGGCGCATGCGTTTTACGTTGTAAAAAATTTTCGCGAAAGTTACCGCTGCTGGGACCACCTAGCGGGGTAGAGGTAAGCATAATCGCCCGCGGCTTTCCAGTTATTAAGTCTGTTTGGAACTTTTATGTCGTCTGTGAACATGAATCCATGAATCCCCCCTGGTGTCAGTCATTTTCACGTATTGAGAAGATCATGAATGTTTGGGTTGGGTCCTGATAAACCACAAGGCCAATGAATAATCCGGGTGGCATGACAATTCTAGCACTTTTAAGAAAGTCGTTTTAGCAGGAAAACACGCAGTCTAGCCAGCTGAATGATTGCAAGGCCATATAGTTACAGTTTGTAGCGAAAAGATGCAGTAGATATTGTTGAAAGCTTTTATGATTGCAGAGATGACATATTTTGTCCCATTCTACTCAGGGACCTTTTCAATAAGGCGATCCATGTGGGCTAAATGATTACAGTTTGCGTCCTTACGTGGAAAAACAGACGAATTTCGGATAATTGTTTCTACTATCTTACAAATGACATGTGTGGGACATACAGGACGATAGACTACGGTTAGCCACATACAGTATTCTTGGGAGAGGGGCGAGTAGACATCCTGCGTAGGCTCTAAGGAGGACAGTTCAGTCTACTGTGATGATGAACATAGTTTCAGACTGGATTCTCCATGGAATCTCACTGCAGTAAATGACGCTGCAATTCGACCAGGGAAATTACTGGGGTAGCCACCACGACGCTAAATCAGTGAGATATAAGGCATTCAACTTAACTACATAATCATTGGCCGCGGATACATGGCTTGCTTAAAATGACAGATTGTAGGCAAAATGTTATTACCGACAAAGACAAGAGAAACTGGAATGGCCACTTCTGGCTTATCAGCCGTCGTCAGCCAGTTATACCCAACCGCGAAGTGTGGAATACCTGGGACTCAATCTCACGGCCTGTTAATTAGAAGTCCAACGCCTCTGATCACTGAGCCACGGGCTCGATGTCCTGTCGGTTTCGATCGGGAATGTAGGATGGTAGACAGATGCTCGCCAATCGTCTTCTTACGCAACGGACAGGATATCGAGCCCGTGGTCCAGTCGTTAGAGGCGTTGGACTTCTAACTAACAGGTTGCAAGATGGACCTTCATGTGTTTCACAGCTCGAGGTTGAGTGTGGCATGCTGACGACGACTAGTAAGCCTGAAACGGCCATCCCAGTCTCCCTTGTCCTTGTCGGTAATAACATTCTGCCTATATCATGCGCGCTGTGCGGCTGCTGGTTGGAATCGGGCGAGAGAGGCCTCTAGGCACAACGGGACGAGTGAGTTCCGTAAGAAGACGATCGGTGAGCGTCCCTCTACCGTCCATGACACATCGTGAAAACCTAAGCTGCCCTGTGTGGGTCCCATATATTAATGTTTTCGTGCTAGCCAGGGTAGTGAACATTCGTGTAATGTATAGTACATATGAAACTAGGATGGGGCGGATCCACTTTCAGGATGCTTTTCTAGTCTCTTCAGAAGCAACTGAAATAAAGCAAAAAAACACTGAGAGGGAACCAGAGTTACCGACGAATCCAAGCGCATTCGACAGTCCGGAGGATCCTCGGTGAAAAAACCTAGCGTGTACGGAATCACGACAGGGCTAAAAATCTGACACCGAGAAGTGAAAAATAAATGTGGTGATAAAACTTTATTAAAACCGATCAATTTTATTGCCCTCCGGGCATACTAGATACTACATTTTGTAAAACAACCCAGCGAAACATAAGGTAGAATGATATTGAAGACGAAACGTGCAACCAGACTCTCCACTGCTGCACGAACCGACCACAGCAGCAATGATTTTCGTGTGAAATGATCATGGGACAGTTTGACCGTCGTTTCGACGATGTCCACCGAAAAAATGGTATAATTCAGTTTTTAAAAACTTTTCCAATTCCCGAACAATTTTGAACCCTACCTGCCGTTACACTTGTATTCAGGGTTTCCAAACTACAGGCCGCATATTTTCCGCGTACGAAAAACCATACATTTCTGAACGGTAATATGAGGAGGTTATACGGCGTTCACAAAATTTAACAGTGGATTTGAGCCATATTGCTAACTTTACAAGCCACATTGGTAAATGCAGAGACATAATGTTTCATGAACGGCCATTTCACGGTATTCCAAATTTTACAATTAGGAACTTTTTAAAATCGAACTATACTCCTCCTTCGAGTATAAAATTGAAAGAAGATGTCATTTTCTACCGAATGAGCAGAAGAATGAATATTTTATGCATGTTTCCCGTGAAATATAATTCAAGTTTTAAGGACATTGAAAATGAAGGAGAATAATGTATGCTACTTATGTAGCCATTTTTTACGGAGTGTGGTTTTGCATGCAGCCGGAAAGAAAATTTTTCGAAAGCCGGCATCCTGAGGTAACTTAAATATTATATAATTATTGTTGCAGGCTAACTAGTTTTACAAACCTTCTTAATTAATCTTTTCGGAACCAAAAACGCATTTCAAAATTTCGGTTGACATTTCATGAGTTAGTCCACCTACTGCAGTCTATTGTGATAGCAGACTTTCGCGGCATCTACCGCACTCTGTCTTTGCCACTCCATACCTGGATCCGGTGTCGAGACAGAGTCAGGAAACCCGGAGTCGGGAGAGAATGCGGCTTGATGGCAAGGTCGAGCCCGCACCTTGACGTTCTATGCCACACCCCCCGGTCCACACAGCAAATGACCAGGTTTTTTCACCACCAACAACAACACCCTGACGGGGGTCAGAAGGGCGAGGATAACTCGGCAGCCATGCCCACCACCTGTATACCCAGCCGGAGCGCACGCACATCTACCGGCAGGGGACGAGGTGTCAGGGGACTGTCAGCGCATACCAGGCAGCGACAGCCATTATTTACTTATACTGGAATAGCACACGCACCCATAATTGAGAAGAACCTAGATATAATATCGATCTCCATAAACGCTTATTGCGAGATTCCATCGCTCAACCGTTGTGTGCTCACCTTCAATACACGCAGTCTCTCTTCTATAGCTTATTGACTATTGGGCTTTATTCCTGCGAAGACATCACTCAATCTCTGACGCAAATGTTCAGCTTCACACGTCTTTATGACGACAAAGGTGTCACTTGCAAAATGAAGTGGTATTTTGAGCTTGAAAGTAAGACGAGTTCATTTAGCAGTCCGGGTCTTCGTGAGCCCATCAGGGTTCCCCTAATCTGATGGCAATACTTAGTGTAGATTGGATTAAATTTTAAATATGCATATATATATATATTACTACCTATGTCAGGAGTACGGCATGGTACGTCTGCCATACGCATTTCGTACTAGTCGTAGTACTACTTGTTTGTGGAATGGACATTACGTGGTTATTCCACAGTGTTTGATTGTATTCGACTCAAATGTTCATTGAAATTTCGCGTCTTACCCTAAAAGTCACGTTTCAAAGACTTAATTTTATGTTTTGCACAGAATAATTTCTGAAATTATTCACCTGATACATATATATATGCATTAAGCCAAAGATGGAGAGGAAGTAAAAGGACGCTATTATCAGCCAAAATTATATTTCTCCAGTATTTCAGACCCAGTCTCAATTATATCGTCGAAACCAATTAAAAGTGCAAACAGATCAGCTGGGAATAAACTTCAGTAACCTCATTCATGCTTGATCTCTGTACACGGCATGCAGATTGGCAGAACGATATCTGAGGACTGAATCGGGGTTTAAATTCTGCAACTCCTGCAAATGATGTGAAATACGGTCATGCCAGTGATTTAGGGCGGACAAGTAACCGAAGATGAAAATGAATGGAATCGGAATCGAACCCCAGATTTTATATACCTCGGGACTGAGTATGTTTGGTTGACGACGACTAATAAGTCAGAAATGACCATTCAAGTATCCCTTATCTTTGTCGGTACTGTCATTCTGCATAGACATATGTATATATATTCAATCAGGAATCGGCGCACACCGGTCTATTGGCTTCCCGGATCAAGCAAGTCCCGTCTAGGTGGCAGAAGTTACGATGCCGACCAAGTTATAATAGGAGAGGGTGGGATGACAGAAACTGTTTAAGGCCTGCTCTGCCTTCATTTTGCCAACCATTAAACATACATATATAATTCGGAATTATGTATATACATTTTATGATTGGCTGAATGAAGGCAGAATAGGTCCAAAACATTTTCTGTCGTCCATCCTCGTTGCTATTATAACTTGGCAGGCTTCGGACTGGTAGTGGGTTGCCTGTTCGTGACCTTTACCATCCATATGGAGCTTGATTGTTTCAGAAAGCCAATAGATCGATGTGCACCCACTCCAGATTGAATAAATGCCCGATCTGCAACGACAGAGAATGTCGGGTGTCGAGGCACCGATGGACTTCTGTTCATGGCCCATCTACGCCGTGTACGAGCGCATGTTTGTGTTTCTGGTCCTAGCTGCAATTATATTCCATGGAAAACATGCATAACAATCTTCATTCATCTACTCACTCGGTAGAAAGTTACATTCTCCTTCAATCTTATACTAGAAGGAATGGTGTACTTAGGTTTTCAAAAAGTTTCTAATTGTGAGATTTTTTAGCACCGTGAATTGACCGTTCATAAAACGTCATGCCCTTTCTTTTGCCAACGTGCCTTGTAAATTTAACAACATGGCTCAAATTCACTGCTTAATTGTATAAACTTCATTTAGTCTACTCTTAACACCATAGATAAATGAATGTTTTTTCGTACGCAGAAAATATACGGCCTATAGTTTGGAAACTATGAATGCAAGTGTAACGGCAGGTCGGGTTCAAGATTATTAAAGAATCCGAACTTTTCGAAAACCTGATTATACTATTCCTTCTAGTATAAAATTGGAAGTAAACGTAATTTTCGAGCAAATTAGCTAAAGAATGAATATTTTGGGCATTTTCCGTGAAATAGGATTGAATTTTTAAGGGAATCGAAAATCTATGAGGAAAGTGCATGCTAAATAATTAGTCATTTTTTGCAGAGCGTGGTTGCTATATGCAGACAGAAAGCCGGCATCCCGTGTTGACTGAATTATTGTATAAGTATGCTGTACAATGATTAGTTTCACAAGGCTACTTAAATAATCTTTCCGAAACGAAACGCGTTTCATGAGTTAGCCCAACTACTGCATATACGTACTCAGAAGAAATAAATTCTTCGGGAAAGATAACACGATTTATTTTACGAATTTTCGACTTTGGTTCCCCAAGTCATCCTGAGACGTAAAGTAGGACTGCAAAACGGTAAATATTTAAACATGCTTATAATCGATTTTGCTCTACCACTCGACCTAGTCAGCCTCTATTGCGGACGGGCATCATGTTCTGATTGGTTAACACATTTTTTACTTTTCCTTGAGGTCCTTGTACACAACATCCAACTTGATGCGTCTATTGATAGATGAGTTATCGGAATAAATCGATTCTAAAAATTATCGGCCTTTCTTAGATGAGCAGGCACCTATAATGCGAGTTTTGTTCCAAGCAAATTTGTGTCCAGTTTCCAGCATATGCATGGCAAACTGAGACAGGTGCCCCTACCTTTTTACTGCCAGCCGATGTTTTTGTATGCGTGAAGAGGCAGATTTCCCAGTCTGACCATAGTAAACCGCACTACATGTGTAACGTGGCATCCTATATACGATTTCTTTTTACCTAAATAGCAAAGCCCATCCTTAAGGTGTACAAGCTGGCTACGAAGTGCAGTCGTCAGTTTGTGCGCCAAGTTTCCGACATCGAAAGACCGAAAAAGAGGAATGTTTTAGACAAAAATGGATGTTCATCTTAAAAAATTTCTGATAACCAAAATTGCTCGACGAAGGCTGTGAACCTCTCAGAAAGAAGACGTACAACAGCCGAAGAGAGTGTACTTTCTAAGGGGATGAAATTTTATCTTTCTGATTCAAACTACCTAGACTTCCTTGCAAACATGGAGTCTATAATATCAACAGAAAATCTTACGGGCGATGAACGTTTCACAATCCGGAATAGCATTGTACATTCCTGAAAGATCCGAAATCCATTTTCAGCACTATCATACGAAGGAAGGAAGGCACTAAAAACAGTTAAAACTGACAAAAACATTGCATACTTCCCGCTGACAAGGGAGGATCAACTGCGATTGTGAACAAAGCAGACTAAAATGAAAAGATGTTGTCATTACTACAGGATAGATCAACCTATAGACCTCTCACCACGGACTCTACTAAATCACAGAGCACAGCCAATGAAAAAGTACTAAAATGCCTTACTGGAAAGAAGCAAATAGCAGGAGATATTGCCAAATATTCACGACAAATTGAGCCAAGCATTGCTAAGATTTATGAACGACCTATGGTTCGCAAGCCAGAAGTAACATTGCGACCGATAGTATCGTTAATCGGTGCACCGGATTGCAAGATTTCTAAATCGCTACTCCACAGACTCCACGCATTGACAATGGATTGTGAACCATCAATTAATAATTCAATAGAGTTTCTGGACAAATTGCAAGGACTGGGAATCGCAGCAAATGAGATAATAATAACCTTTGATGCTAAAAATTAGAGACTATCGCCTACAATTAGTTAAGCCCAAATTATGGGTACGTTATGTTAATGACCCCTTTCTTATTGTTAAAAGAGATCAACTGGAAATGTTCCACAGCGTCATTAACTCAATACTTCCAGGACCAACATTCACACTCGAGGAAGAGACTGATGGCAAACTCCTGCTTTCTGATGCCCTAGCAAAGAGGAAGACTGACGGAGCCTTTCACATATCAACTTACCGCAAGGAATTCTACGCGGAAATTCTTTTGCATTACGACAACAATCACCCTATCCCTCCCAAGCGGGGTGCCGTGAAAAATCTCTTTATCCGAGCAAAATCTCACTTCGATGACAACGAAACCTACCAAACGGAAATGAATTGAAAGTAAAGTTGGCAAACACGTGTTTTAGGTAATTCTTTGTCAGGCCAGTACAGTCACATGGAGGAATGAAAATGTACAAAATTAAGAGCGTTTATAGGTGTCTCAAGGGCGGTTAAGTCATTAAAACTTATTAGTGTGCATTTACTCATTCACTTGCTCCTGTGGAGCGGGATACATCGGCCGTATAACGATACGCCTGGTAAAGAGCGTGCGGGAACATATGCCCGCCTGACTAGACAGAGGTGAGAGCCGATCGATTTCGAGTTCTATTCTCGCACATTTAATCTATACAGGTCATCGAGTCGATGCCAAGGAAGCAGTTCATGTTGCCTATCGGACACCAACAAGCTTCTCTAAAGGCCTACGCCAACGGATACTAGCAACTGTCGAGGCAGTGGCTATACGGCTAGCGAATCCGGTGTTATGCTGTCAGAAAACCCTGACACAAGCGCTCTCTCTGCTGCGGTCAACGCCAACCCCAAGTGATGACGACCTGCCGCCTCAAATCCCTAGTTACAGTGATGGGTACTCCGTGTACTCAATCCAAGAACATCACTCAAAGACTTTCTTACTCTCCTCCCCTAGCTCTGAGGACCAACACCCGCCGACCTCGTCATGCGGGCGGCGTGGGGAAAATGAGTGTCAATGACTTAATAGCCCTTGAGACACCTATAAACACTGTTGATTTTGTACATTTTCATTCCTTAATGTAACTGTATTGGCCTGACGAAGAATTACCGAAAACACGTGTTTGCCAAATTTACTTTTCAAATTCATAAAAGTAACAGTCGCCTGTGTGGGTTAACAATGAAAATCGTTTTGGCAACACGCAGATGATAGTTGCGGGACGACCAAGGGCAACGAAACGCACCACCGTTCGGAGGATTGAATTTGTAGTTCTAATGTGGGATTTGTTCGAAGTCCTGATGAAACCTCCCAAAAGTTCAGTTGTGGAAGTTCTAGTAGGAGGTCGGACACTTGTAATTCGGTTCAGAACGTGACCCAAAACTTTAAAAAAACAAGCATTGGTCATGCTTCACCATGGAGTTACAATACTTGCGCTTCAAATTACGACTTTACGTCTTATGATGTTATGCAAATATTATCCCTAGAAGGGCAATGGCCCAAGTTAAATGAAGGGTTACGTCTCAGACTTCTGGATCTTAGGGTTCGCATGCGTCTCCTATGCCATTATTTAGCAAATCATGGCTCTCGCAGCCTGGGGTGCGTTGGCAGTTCTCTGGCATCTGGTTCCATGTCGTTAGGTGCGCTTGCGCTCTCACTGGGTATACAGACCGTTTGCGTGGTTGCCCAGTGACTTGTGTCATCCTCTTCTCTTTCTGACCCTTTTTTAAGCCAATATGCTGCTCTAGTGTTTGTTGTGGACCGAGGTGTATGGTGGTACGCCTAGGTGCAGGTCCGAACGTTCCAGCCACCTGCACCCTCTCTCGCACCGGGTCTTCTTAACTCTGTCTTGACACCGGGCCCAGGCGAGGAGGGGCGTGTTTGCCAACTTCACTTTTAAAGAGTAACAGGGGGAATATTTTCGGAAGTTAGAACTGAAGTATTTGTTAAAACTGTATCCCCAAGACGGTATTTTAGCGTTGAGCCTGGCCTGACTTCCCGTGGAAGAGGGCACACCGATTCTTTTGGGCCATTCCAAGGCCATACGGTCTTGGTGGTGGTTGACGTCCACACTAAATAGACTGATGCGATTCTGACCGGGAACTCCTGTTCTTCAGTTACTACAAGTAACAGGTTGCGATCTGTTTTGTCTACTTCTGGAATATCTGAAACGGTTGTTTCAGAAAATGGCCTGGCCTTAACTAGTGAGGAATTCAAAGAATTCATAGAGAAAAAAGGAATTAGGAATTTAACCACTGCCCCGTACCACCGCCTACACATAGCACAACGCCGCCGGCCAGCGTGTATGTTTTCCATCTCCCTACTATCCCGGCAAACACTAACTTGAGGATAGAGGAGCCACTGACTTCGCAAACCAGCCCAGGGGTCGAAAATACCCCGCTGAGAACATTAACCCGAATCCGCAGACATGTCCAACGTTTTCAGAGCGAATTCCACTAGAACACTTGTCGAGTATTCACCATTGCCTTTGCTGTTTTCTCCCTCCTTTCCCATGCTGTCCACTTTAGGGTGGAGGGATGCAGCGTATGCTGCTCGGGCTGTCAGGACTTCACACCACATGCGCGCGACAAACGAACAGTAAAGGTTATGTACCCCTGTGCAGACCCCTTTCGTGCTAATTGGCCATCCTTCAGCCTATGGCATTCCCCCCCCCCCTCATGCCACATACCCAGCCGTGTCTGCAAGACTTCCCTGTCTATAGGCCGCCTTTTATTTTGCATATACAACAGTGGTCATATTGACTACCGTGCAGCATAATCCCAAAATATTTCAGTCACACCAAGATTCTGGCCCTTGAATGAGAGTCTTTCTGACCATAAGGAACCATACTCGATTAAATGTGAATGTTTGAGTAGTGTGAATGTTTTCCCCGATTATTCGTGTTCCTACAAGTTCAGATTGTTTTATATTAAAAGTGAACAAAGAAATGTCCTTTTCCTTTCATTTGCCAACATTTAGCATGTTGATATTTTTACTCGATGAAAATGATCGGTTAATTTTTGAAAAAGTTTTCAACTCCGGTTTAATTTGGAGTTGGTTTGTCGTTGCACGTACATTCAGGGTTTCCAAACTACAAGCAGGTTATCAAACTGATATTATGTTACGCTCATAAAATGTTTTAATACGTGGGAATATAGTTATATATGATGAACGCGATACAATGTCTGGCCCTCGAATTTTTACGCATATAGTTATATATGGAAGAAGGTAAAGAGATCTCTGGGGAGGATGATTTATTCATCTGATGTTTCACACTCATACTTGAGCGCATCATCGGAAATAGATTAAAAGTGGGAATACAAGGTTTAAATAGGTCTTTCTTACTCACTATTGATAGGTCCATTGTTCTCTCGTCCCATTGGCCGTCGCCTTTTGCCCAAGTGGTGTCTGACGGCTTCGTATGGCGCCGGTAGGTCGATCCTACGGTTGATCGAGTTGGCGTTTGATTGCTAGGCTTCGATTATCTCTCTCGCCATTTTGCTTTCAGCTCGGCCGATTACTTCTGCCTTGTCGAAGCCGAATTGATGGTTATTTTCGAGGCTTTGCATAGCAACATGTGATCGTACATCTCTTCGTTTTACAGCTAGAGAATGCTCATGCATGCGCGTTTGTCGATCATGCCACAATAATTGGCCGGACAGTCTAGACAGTTGACGCGGTAAACAATTCCTGACGTGTCCTCAGGTGGTAGCCGCCCGTTGGTCTTCATGAGCAAGCGGCGGATAGTGACCTCCGGCCGGTGTCCAAGGCCCACGTTGAGTGGTCTGAGCAGGCGTTCAGTGGCTTCGGAAACGTCATTCACGTAGGGCAAAGCACGGAAGTTTTCAGGTTTTTGTTTTTGTTCACCGTAGGTCTTCGTGTGCCTTTGATACAGGCATTTATTTATGAAGCTACGTGGGTACCCATTAGAGAGAAAGAGACGCCATAGGGATTTACGCTCTCGCAGATTTTCAGCCTCTGTGCTGCAATGTGTGTTAATGCGTAGAAAGAGTGTCCGCACGCAACTGCGTTTATGTGACAAGGGGGGGTTACTGCTGTAATGGAGAATTTTCGTCGTATCGGTCGCCTTTCGAAAGACACCAGTCTGGAGGACTCCGTCTTCCTGTCTCGACACCTGGACATCCAGAAAGGCGATTTCTCCGTCCTTTTCTTCCTCCATTGTGAATTGAATTTGGGGGAAAATTGAGTTCAGTTTGCTTTTGAACGTCTCTTTCATGTCTCGAGGTAGGATGACAAAGGTGTCATCCACATAGCGCATCCAGAATTTTGGCATGTAGGACTGAAAGACCCGTGGTTCCAGTTCTTGTAGAACCGCCTCAGCTAGGTAGCCGAAGATTGGTGATCCCATCGGAGTTCCCTGAATTTGCTCGTACACCTGGCCATTAAACGTAAAGTATGTGCTCAAACGGTAGTCCAGTAGCTCCATTATGCGGTTCTTTTTCAGAGGTCTTTCCTCTTCATCGTACCTCCCCTCCAGTAGGTCACTTATGACCCTCGTGGCTAATTCTTTAGGGCTTTGACAAGGCAGAAGTAATCGGCCGAGCTGAAAGCAAAATAGCGAGAGAGATAATCGAAGCCTAGCAATCAAACGCCAACTCGATCAACCGTAGGATCGACCTACCGGCGCCATACGAAGCCGTCAGACACCACTTGGGCAAAAGGCGACGGCCAATGGGACGAGAGAACAATGGACCTATCAATAGTGAGTAAGAAAGACCTATTTAAACCTTGTATTCCCACTTTTAATCTATTTCCGATGATGCGCTCAAGTATGAGTGTGAAAAATCAGATGAATAAATCATCCTCCCCAGAGATCTCTTTACCTTCTTCCATCTCAACACCTGGGGTCGGCATTTTCGCCTATATCCATATATATATATGCGATACTAGTTGGATGGAGATTTCACGGTCCAAGCAATCCCAATAGTTGAAAATTTTAAAACCGTAAAAGATCTTTTCTTGGGTACTAACTTTGAAAGTGTAACTTGTTAGCAAATGGATAAATCAAATCTAGTTTTATGCCATCTGAGGATATCTTTGTAGTTATAAGAGCACCGATATTTGAGGAAAAAAATCATGCTATGTAAGTAGCCACATTTTGCCGAGTGCGATTGTTGCAGGCGGTTGGAGGGGGCTATTACAAAGTCGATATAATAACGTGACAGAAATATTTTATGATTATGTTGCATGGCAATTAATTTAACAAATTTACATAAATAACCTATTTGTCGGAGACGTGCTTAGGAATATCTGATAGCATTTCATTATTTTGGCCAGACTCTGCACTGTAACATTTTCGCATCTGGGTGAGGAAGAGCGCAGTCAACGCTCTAATTATGATTATGTGTTAACTTTGATTGTGCTCAAGTAAGCGATCAATAGAGGGTTTATGTGTTCCTCGAAGACTTTTGTCGGGGTCTTCCTTCCTCGATTGTTGAGGGCCCTTCCTGGTCCTTTTCTTTGGTCCTGACTGAGTCATCTGATGCTGGTCCGCTGTGGTTATCACCGACCCACACGCCGTCATGAAGTGTATAATAAAATTTACCGGGAAGTAAACTTACTTAGCTGTCCATTTGCGGACATTTTCGTCAGTGGCCTTCCTCAGGTGAAAACAGGTACAGTGCGTAACCGATCTCGTGAAATATTGGCCGAGATTCTGAAATGCGTATTCGATTAGGGAGAATTACTTAGGTGGGATTGTAATATTGATTAACCTGCAGAATGATTCTATATTATTTCATACTTGCCAGGATGTCAGCTTTTAAATGCACTTCTTTTTGACCTTCTGCGGAAATCACACTCGTTAAAAAATGACTACTTAAGTGGCATGCATTTTTCACACTGATTTTAGATAGTCTTATAAATTTGAATATACTTCATAGAAAACATGCACAAAAATATTTTTCTTTTATTCGTTGGGTAGAAAATCACATTTTCTTTTCATTTTTTACCCTAAGAAAACTTATCTTTCGGTCTTCAAAATGTTTCTGATTGTGAGATTTTAAGACCGTGCGGTGTCCATGCAAACAGCATCGAACTTGTCCGTCTAGCAATGCTCCTCATGAAATGTACAACACGGTCCGCATCCATTGCAAAATTTTATGAACACTAGACGGTAGCTTCTTAAAGGCATGAAGGAATATATGATTTTCTTTATGCGGAAAGTATGCAACTTGTTGACTCAAATTGCCAAACGCTAATGCAACGACTTATCAGGCTCCAAATTACTCGGAAATTAGAAAACTTTTTTAAAACCTAATTATGCGCCTTCTTTGAGTATACAATATAAAGTTAACGAGATTCTCTATCAAACGACTGAAAGAAAGCATATTTTTGTTCGTGGTTTCCATAAAATATATTTGAATTTGCAAGACCGTCGAACATCAATGGGGAAAAGTGCATGCGACTTAAGTAGTAATTTTTAGCGAATGTGGTTTCTATATGTGGTCGAAAAAGTGCATTCAAACGCCCATATCCTGACGAGCCCGAAATAATATAGGATATTTCTGCATGATAATTAGTATTACAGCCCCATTTAGGTAATCCTTCCTGATCGAAAACGCATATAAGAAGTTCGGCCAGCATTTTATGAGATCGGCCATGCACTGTTTGATCTGACAAACCCCCTAATTATCGCGTGGATGGAGTACTGCAAAGATCATAGCAGCACGTGTGGACTCTCTGAGGAACCCACACTGCGTTTCTGGTGACGTCGCATGACTAAGTGTCACACCAGTGAAGGCCTGCACTCATGATATTTAGCAGGGCAATTATTCGGTTTTTGCAGCACGTACTTTAGTTCCTATAGAAACTGCAGGGGTGTGGTCGGGTGGAGTCCTTACAATTCTGGGAAACTTATCGTCATCTGCACAACCAGCAGAACACAGCAGTCCGTTTTTCTTGAAGCCGAGCGCAATTGTACCTGCACACTTCTGCAAACCGTATGTTGTCATCAGGCTTTTTCCACTCGTCAATTACTGAACAAAAAATTGAGAAGTCTGCCAATTGAATCTGTGCTGACTGAGGACCCTACGCAAGTTTTCAATACAGAGCTCCACGTTCTGCGGTTTTTTTCGTCTGCAGTTCTTTCCTCTCTGAATTAAGCAATTGCGACATCCCCTTAAGTTTCTGACTGTGAATCGTCTCGATGGGCGCCGGTAACGTTTTTTTAACTACTTCGAGAACAACCTACTCAAAACTCTGCCCGCCCTGTGTTTTACTCTCCCTCCTCAGCCTTCTCCGTAATTGGCGTCTCCCCTTAACGGATGCGGTTATGCGTGGGCTAATCTCTTTCTCCTCATAGACTCAATGAAGTCGATTCCACGGTGATGCCCAAGTAAACGTTGAGGAAGTTAAATTCGGCCGACGTGCGTACTTGATTATTTATCATCAGGTCTGTGTATTAATACGGTATAGCAGCGAGAGTCTGAAATAATCAGTGAGCGGTAGTCATGTGGAGTTAGGGCTGAGGGCACCAAAATATGTCAGAAGTCATGCTTAATTATAGTCTAATTCTGTCAGAGTCATGGGAGGGAGGAGAAACAGAAGGACAAATACCTGTACTTTGTCGCCGTAACAAGAGGCGTCGGGATGAGGCTGTGAAAATGTGGGGCTCAGTTTAGGCCAGGAAAATTTGAAGGCTTGAAGAAACGCCTTCTGCGAGCCAGGGGTTGTGGCGAATAACCGTATAGCCACTGCATCTGCCGTGGCGCAGGTACTTGAATGGCCTCGACTAGAGTTTATGGATAATCCGAAGTGCTTGGTTGAATCTGTCCGGTGGTTATTGTCAGTCAAGTGAGTCACAAAGGATCTATAGATGTATTTTATATGTCTTGCTCAAGCCAGACAGGATGGTGTTCTCACATCCGGTAGGCTAGGCGTCCGACCGATATAACGTGCCACACTTGCGCAAGTGAAGGCGCAGAGGCATACTGGGGAAGTCCGAAAGTGCTGTCTATCCTTACCTTCAAGACGTTGATGCGGACAGCTTGAGAAGAATCAATCTTATCTTAGCGGTCGGACATATGGGTGCGTTGTTCGCATCTTTCTAGGTCCTCGTCTACTCCTATTGCGATGAATTAGGGTTGACGTCGTTCATACTCCCCAAACTTTTCTAACTTGCCCTTGTCCGGAGCATTATAGTTTCACAGAGAGAGAGAGAGAGAGAGAGAGAGAGAGAGAGAGAGAGAGAGATAGAGGCAGCACCCGCCTTCAAAAGGGTGATTTCGATGGTCACGAAGACTGTCCTTTTCGAATAGATTAGCTGTTGGAATGTCAAAAACGAACTGCACATTCCAGACTGCTAGGATGAACGAAGCCGTTTCGGCAGAAGGCGACTAGGGGTTGAAGTTGTTTTAAGCATTGGTCTGTTTCGAACGATAATGAGCCTCACTGGCAGCCACGGTCGTCTGCTTGGATGGATAAATAGACAATTTTAGGAGAACTTGTCTAGTTATCCCTCTAACCTTCCAGAATATAGACAATACTTACCTAAATAGGACCGCCCGATCTCCCAAGTTTTGTTACCGACTTATATTGGGAAGTCATTTGAAGATGGCTAAACAGTCAATGTTGAAATGCCTAAACCGTGGCACGAGGGCTTGAAAGTGATCTTTGCTACTATATTTCAATTGATTGTGGAGAACATGTCTTCAGCAACATTGTTTTCACTCCCTTTTCGAGCCTAATGGGATCAAGCAGTCAGGCTGGGCTCGGATGATTGGCGACGAAGTCGGATGGCGAAACTGGCCTGTGAAGGTCCAGCTGGCGCTTTCCGAGACATGAAAGGTTCATGTCACACGCACAAACTCGCCTGTGCCAGCCGATTCCGTTACTGGAGTTTGATCGCAGAGATCAGTACCCCTTCCTAGGGTCAAAACTGAGAACTGGGCATCGACATGGTGTTGGGGTCAGTCAGGGGATGGAGATACCGAGGACCAGCACTCCATTTGATGGGCTTGATTGTGTAGACATTGAATGAGCACAGGATACATCACTGTAAGTGGAAGGTCCGGTTGGAACTCTTCTGCGAACAGAGAACTATGCTTCATAACCAAGGATCAATAGTTTACTGTCTTTAAAACGTTTGCTGGTATTTAGGAGATTACTTAAAAGTACTAGTCGATAACAACGCAGTGTCTTATATTGACTTGATTTGCTGACGCTAATTTGCACACGGTCGCAGCTCACGCCTTTTCAACAAAGTCGGAAGCTAAACTTGTTTTTGTATCTCGAAGATTCTGAGTCTGTCCGCCGTAAGTGAGACCGTTTTCGAGTATTCCGATTCCTCTGCAGATAAAAGACAGTTCGGCTGTCGGTTCCGACGATGTCCACCGTGTGCTACACAGCAAGTCGAAGCAGGCACGGTGACTTGCGCGTGAATTAGTTTTTAGTGATAGTAGACCTTACGCAACATCTACCGCACTCTCTCTTCCCCACTCCCCACCTGGACCTGATGTCAAGCCAAAGTCAAGAAACCTGGAGGCGGGGGAGGACGCAGGTGACTGGCACGGCCGGACCTGCACCTAGGCGTGCCACCACACCATACACTTGATCAGAATTTTCCCCCAACAACGACACCCCAACAGGGATCAGAAGGGCGAGGATGATGACTGGGCAGCCCTACCCACC